CACCAGTCATAATGAGTTAGTTAAATGAGTTATGATGAGAAGAAGATGTTCTGTGCAGAGTGAAGGATGGTTAAAACAAACTGGACTTGTGCTGCGTTCGAGTTACCTCGGAAGTCAGAAGTCAGAGCTGAAAATGACGTCACAACCGAGTTACCAGCGTTTCAGTCACCAAGTCAGAAAAAAAGCAAAATCGGAGTCGGAAACAAGATGGCTACATCTACGAAAGTTATTTTAGCGTTTGCCTTGTCTGAATACAAGGCCTTCGATTTCGCTTTTTTCCGACATGGTAACTGAAACACTAGGAACTTGGGTGTGAGGTCATTTTCAGCTCCGACTTCTGACTTCTGAGGTAACTCGAACACAGTATTAATCCCCGAATTTGTAAGAAGGGGGTATTATGCTTTTCCATATTTACTAAGGCTGAAATAAAGACGTCTTAATACACAAGGCTTTTTTAAAATCTGAAAATCAGGTAAAGCTGCTGAAGAGGGATCAGAAAGAAATATAGAGTCTGAAAAAAATGCATAATACCTCTTCTTCAAAGTGACATCAGTTGTATGCATAACTTTTATGAAGTGTCATATATTTACTGTATTTATTTTAGAGCTTCTGTGAAGACAGAGTTTGCATCATCTTTGGTGCTCCCTATGGACAGCACCTCAGATTTTTTCCCTTCATGCACAAGTGTATTTGTATTCAAGAAATCTCATAAGGTTTCATTTTAACATCCAAATTGATCACTTAAATGTTGTGTAAAATATAAACGTAAACGAATGGTCTTGTATGCTTTTGTAGCTCATATAGAGGCACTAATGTTAAATCCAGTCTGTTTTATAAACTACTCAATCTGCTCGCAGAAGCTTTTACACAATTATACAGACAATTTGATGGGAGAAAGTTTGAGATTTTGACAGATACAATTTATTAAAAAATATAACTATAATCCAAAATTTCTGCATCATTACACCCTACTCTGAACCATCTTGGTATTGCCATAAAAGACTCTTTTTTTCCTCTTGTAAAAGGTGACGCTACAAATACAAATTTCTGAGATTTCAAACTTCTAAAGGTGATGAATTATTTTTGTCTTTTAATCATCAACCTTTCACCAGTATTGATCTCCAGCCAAAAGATTAATCTCCCGTAATTAAATACAGATAAATATTGTTGCTTCAGTCAGCCAGCTCTCATTGTGGATTATGATGTGATTATATAAGATTATATTTTGCTCGAACTTCATCACTTCTCTCCAGAAAACACAGCGCTCCCTGAAGCAGGGATCAGGGAGCGACGATAATAACTTCCACTCCTCGCAGACTCGGGCGGTGCATATAAAATTTACAGATTGCACCTGTTGCATCATGGCTTTCAGGTGAGCTGTAAGGCAGCAAGGGGGGAGATCACTGACAGCTTAAGTCCACCACTTTAATGTAAAGGGGGAATTTGGATAGCGAGAAGCAGAGTAAGGCGGCGCACTTGAATGGACTATTTGGAGTGACATAGAAATTGTTGGCGTTTTGTGTTAGAATTAATATTTTAGGCTCTTGGGCACTAATGGAGGGACTCTACTCATATTTTTGATCTGTGAATGTCAAAATGAATAAGACAAGGAAATATAAGGAGGAAAAAAGTCGCTTGAATCTACTCCTCACTTTTAGGTAAATTTACAATACCTCACAAAAACAGAAGCACAAGACGGTCAAAACAATAAACTAAAAGTCCAGATTAATTCAATGAAGAGAGGCAATGATCTGCAGTTATCTTAAATTGATTGAGACTCATCAATAAAATTAATTATGAATTGGATTACCTTGAAAGTGTCCTAAAACAAAATTATGAGTAGGCTCATGATTTTTTAGGGTCAACCAACCAGAGGCGGACTTTATCCTCCTCGTAAATACCTACAGTGTGCCCGCCTGTCAGTCCAGTCAGCCGCGCTTTCTTTTCGCCAATCTTTAACTTTGAAACAAACACATCACAAAAAAAGTTGTCATGCTTTGCGAGTCCTGAGCTATTCAGACAAAAACCCAGGCTGTAAACATGTTTCTTGTGGCTTGATTTATAGTTGTAGGTTTGGTGAAACAGGAGTGCCCTTTAGATGTGTCAGGGTATCAGGGAGCTTTAAATTCAATCATGAGGACACGTGCATTTACAGCCACTTCTGCACATATTAGTGGTGGACACGGCAGTTCTTTCAGATGTACTGAATCACTCGAATCAGTTCACTAAAAAGATTCGTTCAAAAGATTTGTTCACCAAATCACTGAATCATTTAGCGGGAGAAGCCTGTGACTCCGACCTCCTGAACTGATACACAGCTGAACGTTTCGGGATTCAGTTCAATTCAAAGCTTCTGGCAAGGCTGTTTCTCCCTTCAGCTCAACTGAAGCTCACTTAAATGATTCGGTACTTTTGAACAACTCGTTCACAAACAACACAACACTAACATACTGATCCAATCAATTTAAAGCTCCTGTGAGGACATTTAGGTTTGAGTTGATTATGGCGCCTCCTGTGGTTGAAGAAGTACCTCTGATTTCCCTGCTGATTGTCTCCTGTATACATAAATGGTGTTTCTTCTTCAGCTTTCTTGAAACTCCTGCCGTCTAACACTGACCCCCCCAAAATTATACAGAAGTCGTCTGTCTTCGTGGGAATGATTAGAGTTGCTTTTGGAATCAATAAAGGGCCATCTGTATGATTTTCAGCCTTTTTCATGGCCAAATAGAAACTCCTCACAGCAGCTTGAATAAAACTGAGGCAAAGGAATAAAAGCACAAAAAAGTGAACTGGTTGTGAGTCTCCCTCATTCTTTAAAAAAAGCTTTGATCAAACTTTGAAGTGAACCTTGGCAGGCACAGATATCATGAAACCTTCGATGCAGACAGCAGGTTGAATATGCAGTTAAAAAAAACAGGTATCCCTATTAACTCAAATTTGGATGAATATCTCAAAAAGCAGCATAAAGCCCGAATAATCTGACAAGATTTATTCTGTGAAAATCAATCCGAGCTTTCCCCGCTTGATGAGTGCAGTGAACCTTTTTTAACTAACGTCTTAAATAAATGGAGACGGTGTTATCGATTCAAACACAGTAGACAGAATTGACATGCAGGCAGTTATCTGTCAAAGAAAAATGAATCACTCTATTTGTATTTAATGCTTTACTTTCGATGTTAACACACCAGTAATATTCAGTATTCAGCAGATGAGTTTAGCGGAGGAAGATATTATCTTTTTAATTACATTTTCACCTCGGGCTCTCATTATAGCTCAAGTGCTGTACATAATGAGCCAACATCTTAAATAAGTAAAGGTGATACTACTATTGATTGGAAGCATGCAGACCAGGGGCGAGCTATCAGTCATAGAAAATGTACTCCTGAGTTCTGGTTTAATGTGTGCTGGTTGGTGTCGTATAGACTCATTATTCATTATCCTCTAAAGGAATCCTGTTCATTACACTTTAAATGGCTCTATAATTGCAAATGGTTGCACATAATAAAGCTGAAGTGTGAGCGCTTTTCTGTCTGTGTGCTTTGTAACTGTTTTTGGTGATGAAAAGGTCAGAGATGCAGCCCCGTCTTTATGTGTCAGTACTGAAAAGGTAACGGCTGTGTGAACCGATTAATTCATTATACATAATTATTTATTCCACTGCGGGAGAGAGAGTGTTTTGATTGAGATCAAATGAACCCTTTCAAGACAGTGTCTGTGTTACTGTTAAAATTTTTACAGGAAGAGGCTGTGTGAAGAAAACCTGTCATGAGAGCAGACATGATTATGAATGATTTATTAATTGTGAGATTATAAGGGGCAGGAAAGAGCAGACTCATAAACCCTTGTGGTAATGGACACCCTTAAGAGCACTTAGGAATCACGGCCACCTGTAACCACACCCAACAATTATGTCACTTGTCCTTGCCCTGTAATCAGACCACATCCTCATCATGCCAGGAGAAATGCATATTTTATTTTTTCATGTACATTCATTAAATTCAAAGAAACTGATAAGGGATTTAATGAATCTGGCTCTCAATGATTAACCCTTCATAGTTGAGCACAGCCAAGGCTGGTATGGACGGTTGGGAGGTAAGTACAGACCCATGCCCACAACAATCTCGCCAAAGATCACGCAAACTTGCGGGTGTTTGATGTGTATGAATTTTTCTATTTTTATTATTTTTTTATTTTATTATTATTATTATTTTTTTTTTTTTTTTTACCTCTCCCTTTTTCCTTTTCTAAATTTTTTCTTAATTTGAACATTTATTTAAGTTCTTAATATACGATCTTTATTTTTATAACTGTATTTTTGCACTTTGTCTTTGATGCTGCTGTGACAAAAAAATTTCCCCCATGGGGGATCAATAAAGGAATATTCTATTCTCTATTCTAATTTTACGGTTTGACCAGGTTCCATCTGTACGGCAGCCGGCCACCAGGGGATAAGGAGACTCACTGGTACTCCTGAGATCGTGGGTTCAAGTCTTACCCTGTCGAGTTCTAGGAGAATTTTAAAATCTCGAGTCCACAAAGGACAGCGATATGTGAAAAAAAAACGGCACATAACGGCACAAAACGGCAGTGCACTCAGCTAAGCGCCGTTAAGCGCGCTTATCCCGATGCGGTCTCTGAAATGAGACACAGCCTGTATATAAGATGGACAGAGTCAGCCTCCTCGCTGGGTGAAGCCACTCCGAGAACAGCACCCTCTGATGGTGGGCTGCAGTACAGGTCATAAATCCCGCCTCCGCCAGCAAAGCTTATGGGACTGTGGACAAACTTTAGAAATGTATTACACAGAACATAATTTTTTCTCCCCCCTGGTTGTGATGTTGACATACTGTATAGTTACAGTAAGACTGGTTTGTGCCCAGGTCCTTTTTTTTCTGTACAGCTCCGTTTTTAAAAGTTATTAGGGGGTTCATGTTTTCTATGATTGACACCTGGTACAGCCTATGGGCGTTCGGGGATTGCGTAGCTCTTCCGGGGGAGTACGCCGTTTGAGCCGAGCGTCATCACAGGGACTCTCGGCGAATGCGCGGCCGAATGCGCACAACGCTACTGCACAGCTCTGGTTTCAAGGAACTGGAGAAAAACCCGGAATTACCGAGAGCTTTTTGGCTTCAAATCCGTATACAGGCGGAAGGCGGAACTACGGTGTCCATCTTATATACAGTCTATGGTTGTACCACCATGAGGTTCACTGGATTTATTTGCTTCCCTCCCAAACAGGTAAGATCTTGCACTTGTTTTTTGAGTGTCAGCAGCAAGTTTAAGATGGTCTCGTCATCATGATACTGACAGCTGTTTGTTTTGTCTGTTGGTGTGAGATGGAGCTAGGCCTCCTGAGAAGCTGCTTCCTCATGCTACATTGGGCTTAAGGTCTCCTTCTCCAAGTACAGAGGCTCTGAAAAGGCGGTCTTAACTCCTCTGTCAGGCTGTGCTCTTGAAGCAGTAAGTGCCTGAGATGATGTATGTTGTTGAAGCAGCAGGCTTTGAAAACTGGTGAAAGTAATTGTTGGGAAGTGGAAAAACTGTCACACTTCTGTGAGAAATCACACAAAGAGCGAAACACAGGCAGTCCGGTGATTAGTGCGCTCACAAACAAGCCAAGAACTCATCCAGGTTGTCTTCAACTGGAGATGAAACCAGACACAGCGACAGGATCTGGAGTGATTTCACATGATGATTGTGGCATGTGAAGTTGAAATGATGAAAATTAGCTTTGTGATTCTGGTGATTCATGCTCAGTAATTGATTTCAAACTGGGGACAGACACTGGAGGTTGTTTTGTGCGTCAAGAACTAAGTGTAAATGTCCTTGGTGGCGTATTCAACGTCTCTGTAAGGGGGTTATGAAACAGACTAAATTGAAAATGATACCTCTTGATGACTTACAGAAGCAAATAACAGTCTAAGAAACTGGACTGACTTCTTACTGAGAGTGTTTTTTGTCTGTACCTGCTGTGAGGAGTGAATCTCCGGCCACATGATTGACACAAACATGAAGAAGTTGGCAATTTAGAAAATCTGGATGAGTTTTTGTCAGACATCATCTGCACACAATTCACTAAAAACTACTCAATCCCAGTAACATGGGTGAATTTATTTATCAGTAGTTGCTTTTCATCCCGGCATCCATGTTCCAATAAAACCACTTTCCTGTAAACTCTTGGCAATTTCTAAGCTTTTAGAACCTTACTTTTTACTTCCTTGCCAAAAATGATGAGATGATTTCTGAAGAAAATTGTTTTGGCTGGGACTTGCTCACCAAATCTAAAGATGCTCTGCCAACACAGAGTTTCTTTAGAGTTTGCCAGTGCAGACCAAAGTGACGATGCCCTAAGCAGAACATTTTCTGGGCTGTGTTTGCAAAAAGGCAGTGCCCTATAAACGAATAATGCTTTTTTTGTCAGAGCTATAAGATTTGAAGCACTTTTGAAAACCGCGGTGGTTCCAACAGACATTTTTTAGCAACTATGAGAATCAAGTTTGTCTGCTTTGGCAAAAGGCGAATGAATAGAATAAAACGGGAACATTTAAAGTTTAAAATTTGAGATATTTTCGCTCACATATTGAACTGTATAATTGTTATCACACCAGCAACAGGGCTGACTTTTCACTTCAAAGTCTGTGACGCGCCACTTTTTCGTCACTTTGAAGGATAACTCGTATCAGACTGTGAAGGACAGTATGAGGGTTATATGTCTGAGTTTGAAGGCTGCAGACTAACTCTGTACTTTGGCCTCTGTCTCTTGTGTTTCTCTGAGAAAGTTGGTCCATTAAGTCAGGTGTTTTTCATAGTGATACCCCCTGAGCGCTTTATCATTCACTTTCTGCAATGCACTTGTTGCAAATGAGGCATTTGGAGTTGGCAGCAAAACAGTACTTTGCAGTCCAGCTGGGGTTTTACTGCTGGCCTTTGCAGTTTAATTCTAACTTTCCCCCAAGTTTGAGTCAAGTCAGAGTCACCAGAGAGGAATTAAAGTCGAGTCCAACTCAAGACTTCATTACTGATGACCAGCTCTGGCTCAGTCCTCAACGTGAATTGTATTATTTACAACAAACTATTGACTTTATGAGCCTGGACTGTCTGTACCAACCTGAACTTACTGTCTGTCTTATTCATAAATATCAGATTCTAACAAATCTCCATTGCATGTCTGGAGATGTCACAGTGTTGGGTATTGTAAATGTACTACTCTTAACAATGGGGCGTATGTATCACATATGCTACGATGGGATCACTGCAGGCACCTTGCATTTTCAAATATATTTGCAGCCCAACAAAGTAACTGTAGGTTTGTCTTTCAGAGATGTTGTCCTCGATATTTATGTTTGCTGCAGTCTTTCCATGGTACTGCTGTGGGTTGTCTATATCTGTCTTCTAGCAGTTAAAAATGAGTTTTTTAAGGTCACATGAGAGGAGGTAGGCTTTTTGAGAGTTTTGCGCACACTTTGTTAGAGAGGTGTGATTTTTAGGGCTGAAATTAGCTGTGGTTAGAAGTTGTATCCATCACCATTTTCCTCTTTTGTTAACAAAAGGTTTGAGTGTGTGTGCAGCAGCAAAGAAAACACATTCGAGCAAGCATTACAATTACACACAATTATCTCATGTGTTGTCAAATTGAGTTCAAGCTCAAAATAAACCGAAGGATCCTTCTCAGTAGTCAGGAAGGTAGAAATACAGCTGAATGTTCAGCAGCTACGTGGTTTTCAGTGATTTTCTCTGCTGTCCTGATAATCCATTACAGTCTGATCCTGTCCTGTTTGGAGCTGGACCTTGATGGAGTCTATGAGGGAGGTCCGCTTCAGGTCCCTGGAGATAGTGGATCCCAAGGACTGGAATGAGTCCGCAGTAGAGCTGGAGAGCACTATGTGTTTTGTACTGTACAGGTAGAGTTGAAATGTTGATAAAATTGGCTTTGTAATTCTGGTGATTCGTGGACCATTGAACTAAAACTAGAGAGACACTGGAGATCGTTTTCTGCTTTATCAAGAGTGTCAAGAACTAACTGCTGGGCCTGAAGCCCGTGCAGCAGACAGGTGAGAGCCCATTTAAAACCAGTGATAGTAGCACCGGAAACCACAAACACACAAAGCCAAAAAGCCAGTGAACAAAAATACACCTCCCACAGCACCAATGGAACAGGGAGTACATATCTTTGTAACATGTTGGTTTTCTAAGGTCAAGATATTAGCATTTCGGGGGCATGGCTGACATGACTGACAGAAGACACACTGTAAATACTTGTGAGGAGGCTAAAGGTCAGTCTCTGGTCCAAAAGCTACCTTTGTTTATTATACAGACTATACAGTAGGGGCATGCAATCTGACAATCTTAGATCGGAATTCGCTTCCTCTTTACCTCCACTATACTTGGTGTGTATCTTCTCAGGCTGGCTGACACACACTCCCCTCCCCTTTAGTCCTCAGTAAACTTCCAATCACTGTTTAGTATGCAAATGAGCCAGCAAGTAGCCAGACTATGGTGTAAGGTTTCAGCTTTAAGATTTAAAAGGAGCAGCCGAATTCGTCTTTGTGACTCGTGAGAAAAAATAAAGGTATGCCTATCTTAAAAGAGAGAGGAGTGAGAAAAATGAGAGAGGAGTGGAGAGAGAGGAGATTTTTGACCAAAAACAAAAGAACCAGCCAAAAAAAGAAAGGAAAAGAAAATACTCCATATCATAAATGTTATGCTGTTCGTTGTGAAAATAATAATACTTCTATTTTTCAGCCCCCCTCAAAAAAATCTTTGATAAAATCTTGATCGTGATTTTGCAAAATAAAAGATAATTTTTTTCCCATATCGCCCACCCCTACAGTCTGCTTCCCTGTCGTAACAGTCTTGACATTTTAAATCAGATTCAAACATCTCGGCTTACAGTCTGATAGTATTGCTGGAGGCCTCAGCTTTAGATCTTTATCAGTCTCTAAACTAACAAAACTTCTCCAACTTTTCCAATCTGGATTTCTAATGAGTCGCCACTGGGGTATATGTTGTAGACAGTCTTTGATTTGAATGCAGTCATGGTATCATCTGATGGTGATTGAGCTCTTTATTCAGTCTCATTTGTCAACTTGTTTCTGATCTAACTGTCTTTTTAGATTAGGACACAAACCTGGAGGTGCCATTGAAAGAAGAGGAGTCCCGTTTTAGTCAAATCCTCCAGAAAACAGAAACATCTTAACAACAAGGTCACTAACTTCAACTCCTGACCCCTCATTTATCTCCACACATACGAGAGCACATAGAAGCTAAGAGGCCGGGCGTAGATTTATTACTGACCTTTTCTTAAACCACACATAGATGCTGATGCGTGGATGCAGCTTTCATATAAAGGTTTATGAATCCACTGTGATTCCTTCCTATGCAAAAATGACATTTAGTCTTTGTCTTTCAGGCGCCTTCGCAGAATCAGTGATATTTTACTGATGCAATATTTTGAAAAATATTTTCCTGTCATTTGCAGCTGCTCCTGAGTAATTTTCTCACTCAGGACCTCTTTTATCTTGTATTGATTTTTGCGATGGATCAAAATTTGAGTGTATCTCGTATTAAAGAGAATTCTTTTCTCAGTTCTCTGAACCTACATCAGAATAAAACTGTTTTATATTCATCTAGCTGAGCTCATATTGACCTTTTTATTAACAGGGCTGGTAACAAGCGAAGGAGAATTGCACTCATCAAATATTGTGTTAAAATTTAAATACAAGGTGCCTGTGAGTGTCAATCAGTCTGGTCTGCTCTTCTCTGCTTTGTCTGATTAAGCAGGAAAAGAATAAAAATGGATTTTGGAAAATGAGTGTGGAAGAGAAGGTTTTGTTTTGCACCTCAGTCTTCTTTCTTCTTCTTCTTCTTTTTTTTTGTTCGTTTTTTCAAGGAATGCAAATTTTGCTCAGATGTTGCAACCCTCCTTCTGCCTGTTAAACCTCCATCTGAAGTGCCTCCCTCTTTGATACGCTGCAGACCAACTCGCAATCAGGTGCAGGAGTGCCTTTTAGTGGCCGTGTTTGGAAGTGCACTGTCAGTTGAAGCTCCCTCATAAAATGATATAAATATCAATAGTTAAGGGGACATGGATGCACAATAAATTTAGTGTCATATTCATATATTTATTGAGTGTTTATTTACTCCTACTGCTTGTCCTGAAATCCACACATGTAAACATGACACTGAATTTACTGCACTTAGTTCCCTGAAAAGCCAGAGCAAAAGAAACAAGACCAAGGATCATTTAGAGGGAAAAAATAAAACATAAATTTAATAAAAGACCAAAAATTTCCTTTAATTCAACAATAAATCAGAGAGGAGGAGCGCCTACAAGTACTAGTGGAACATTTAATAAGGCTCTTAATGAGGGTGGTGCCTCTGACAGCATAAAAATGTAATAATTTGTTTAATTATATATTAGCTAGTACTATTCGCCATTAATCATTACCTGCTAACTATTATTCAATTTATCCTGGAAATCCTGAAAAACCTGGAAAGCAGTTGAGCAATTTTCTAGTCATGAAAAACACCATCAGGATCTGTGGGTTACTTTCAGTTTGTGTGGATTTTAGCGCCCCCTGTGGACAAATTGGCACCTCTTTCTATATATGTTTTAAATCTTGTACCATACTTGTGCAAATAGATTATCCATTGAAATATATCATTCTTGTTCCTGTGCACAGTGAATGTATGGCTCTTGTGTGTCACTAGAATTAGTTTCAGCCTGATTAATTCCCATCTAATAGCTCCTCATATTAACTTTTAGTGTTAGTAATCACACCGTCCACTCATTATATCTATATTGTGAGAATACTTACAATAAAACCACAGTAGCACATCTTAAAATAGCATATTATTGGAGTATAATGTGTAAACAAATGCTAGTTTCTCATAATTCATGTCTATCCCAGCCTACAAATGATGGATAAACCATCAAGTGTCCAACAGTCGATCTTTCATTTTTTCATTATGTGATTGGTAGCTCTCACAACCCCCACTCACAAAGCAGACCCTCTCTAAGATAATTACCCACTCTGTAAGTGATTGTAATTTGAGCGGACCATTACTAATTGGTGTCACTGGACGCAAAGATTTTCCTAACCTTGTTGTACGTAACGATTTTGTAAGATCCAGCCTGTTATTATTGACATTTTACACAATAAACCCGAATCCTGAATATGAACTTAATGGATCCTATCAACCCCGTCCTCCAGACCAAGGTGAATTAATCAAAGCAGACTTGATTTATACATCCCGCCCCTTCCTCTCTTCTTCTTCTTCCTCCTCTCTCTCTCTGTTTCTGGTGCTCTCTCACATGGAGGCAGCTGGGGATTCATTTGTCTTGCTGATTAATGATGAGAACCATATCCTCCACAACAGCAGTAAATTAAAAGAGATTGGGGACAGAGAGAAAGAACATCAAGGTCCATTCATCCCAATCAAATTTCACAGTAGGTCCAATTCATTCTGAGCTTTATTTGTATTGTGTGCTATACAAACACAGAAAAACACTCGTCATTCACTTTCTCCTCCCAGGCCCTCGCTGGCGGTCTGGGGATTTTTTGGCTGGCAACTTTCCAGGTGCACACTCATTTTTTCACCCTTCAGGCTACAACCATCCCCACTGCTGCACCGCCATGACAGCAGCATGTCTATTTCAGATAATGGTAATTGTTCGCCAGTGGAAGCCATGGTTTTCTGTTTGCACCGTTGGCTCCATGTAGTATATGAAGTTAAAATAGTCTCTATGTCACCTGTACAGAAATATGTTTCGAGTATTGACTGTATGCAGACAGCGTGTCTTTGTTTACACCTTCAGTGAGAGGTGTGAGCCCAAATACCACCTCCATGGATGCTCTCATGTCTGTGATAGTGGGGCCCAGGCATGTGCAGATAATGGCTTTAACCAACTAAAATACCAAAGTCTTGCAGCGTGTTTGCAACACTGACTGCAAATGTTGTTGACAGGGCTGCTGCTGTTATAACAAATAGGAAAACATTGCTGATGCACTGCAAGTCGAAGTTTTTTTGCTAATTTATCCATACGTGGGACAACTCATCCTAACATGTGTCCAGTGTTCAGCTAGTCTGACTTATCATACTGACAGGTAGGCTAGCTGTCATTACGTTATAACAGCAAGAGGACATTTAATTTTTGTTCTTTTTTGAAAACAAAAAAACCTGCAAAAGTGCAGATCACTGGTATTTAGGTAATCCTTAAATACAGGCCAGGTCTTGCATTTGCTTTTACTGTGAAAGGTAATGGGCCTTTATATGAAGCAGGCTTGTAATTGAGGCAGGCTTTTATATCATATTCACTCCATCTGAATATCACAATTGTTGATATTTTCACGGCTTTTGTGCAAATCGTACCTCTTTTTATGCAAATGGGCCTCATCTAAAATCATAAAAAAACGCGCCATGTGGAGTTAAGGTGACATTTTCACCAACTGCGCTTAAATATTTGCATATTTTCACCCTTAACTCGCTATTGATCAAGACAACTGTTTCCCTCTGAATGATAAATCTATACATAGATATTTTTAAAATAATAATAATCAGGAGTTACATCAGTCAGGGGCTCTCTGAAGCTTAAACCCACCAAATACTAGCTGTGCCATTGTGCACAACAGATGAGATATGTGTATATTAATATTCATATACTTTTTAACAGAACTAGTTGCTTTTTGCTGCTTATAAACTGAAGTTTTTCACATCTATCATAAATCGACTCCACCGTAGATTGGTAAGGACTTTCCCTCTCCTTTCAGCTTATCATAAACTGTATAAAGATACAGTTTGGCAGCGTCAGGATGGGACCCCACAGTGCGGGTCTGAGCAGCTGAGAGTGGAGATGCTGACAGCGGTAATCTAAGCTGTAATACAATGAAAACTGAAGCAAATACAGACAGGGGTGGCCTGTGGTTTAGTTCGCTCCAGATCGGGTTTTGAGTTTGATTCAACAGGATGTGATGTTGGTGCATAATCATTAGGATTTATCGACACCCATGATGGTTTGAAATGGTTCAACTTTCGTGTCAGATTAGGCTTTCAACCCAGTACAAGTGTGACGTTGATACTTCATCCAGTGGGCTAACACCTGGTGACCGATAAGGTTAAACACTCCCGTGGTGCAGCGTCAGTATGAATCAGTATCAGTATTACACTGTTGTTATATTGAACCTCATTGAATTAGCTGCTGATAGAGTCCCTACTAGTCAGTAGCATGCTGACGTTTGCTCACAGGCGTGTTTGTGAATGGGATCAATCAGACATAATCTATATAAGCAGGTTACATGTCTCAACTCTTTCTGATGTGTCTGTGTTGTCTTTGCAGCCAGAGGTCGGCTAACGTTTCCTGGCAGGTTTTGTTTTCTTTCCCTGCTGTATAATATTACCGTAGCTGTTGGGATAAAGCACTTCCCCCACATTAGGAATCAATAATGTTTCATCTTATTGCATTTGTCGGATGTACTGACAGCTCTGTTCTCAGCAGGACCGTGCAGTGAGTGGAGAATATTGCAGATTGTTCAGGGACACAATCAGGCTGTAAATTGTTCATGTATCCCCACAGTGTTTGGCAGGTTCCCAAAAGGAATTAAACATCTGAAGTGACTGGGGTCCAAAGGAAAAGGGGGAAGGAGTTCTGGGAAGCACTCAGGTCACAAATCTACCTAATTAATGCTGCCTCACTGTGCCGTTAGTTTCTTTCTGCTGTCCTGTGATGTTTTTGTTTCTGCCGGGTTTCACCTGCTGCTGGAGCTTCATTTTTGGATGAGATGAGGAGTTAGAGGAGGGAGGTGACAGTTTAAAAACGTGCGCTGCTGCAGGAATGATAATTAAAGTGTTTTTGAGATTAGTGACCCACTGAAGTCCACATTAAGTTTTATGAAATACGCGGTAATTAAGAGAAGCAGGGATGTGCACGGCAATGAATCAGCAGGAACAGACTCAAAAAAACGGGATGAAGGTTTGGCCTTTTTACCAGTGATGTAAAAGTGGGTGTCTGTTTGTGAGTGACGGGGTGAGGGTCCCCTAACAGGTGGCCAAGTCTTGCAGCGTTTCAGCAATTCAGTCATCTTTTTTAATTAAATAAAACTCACCAAAATCACACAAAATCGAGTATAAGTTGGGCCCAGAAATGAAAAGGAGGTTGTTTGCCACATGGAGTCAAAGCTGAAAGACATTTCATCGATTCTACTGCTTCAAAAATCAGCCGTTGAAGATGATCTACTAGTTAAGATAAATCTTGTGTCCGTAAACGATAAAACACTTTTACTTACAAACTAGGCTTGTGCAGGATATCTGGTCCTGCTAAATGTCTTTATCCCTCTGTGCCTTTTTAAAAAGTTGTGTAATGATGGTTTGATATTTTAATTAGTAAGTATTTTAAAACTTAGGATAATTGGAAATACTCTCGCGTGTAGTTTGCCACTCACTTTGTGAATGTTTCCCTTTAGCTGGAAAGCCAAACAGCCCTTGAACTCCTCTGACCCTTTTCAAACATTTATCCAGTATGCCGGAGGAGTACACTGTTGAAAAATTTATCAGCAAAATGTTCATTAAACTGCATAATAAAGACACTTTTCTGTAGTGTAGGACCCAGGCTCACCTCTCTGTTTCTTTGTTTGGATGTTGATTTGAACCCCCAGCTCCAGCTCCTCTTTGTGGTTTTTTTAGGCGAAAGAGATGTCAAGGAGACAGAAAAGGGAACATTTTACTTTAGAAGCTCAGAAAAAAAAAAAAAAGAAAGGCTGCCCTTTTCAGCTCTGGCCACAGGAAGTACTTCAAGTTTGGAGGGCTTTTCTGCTGTACTTCCTGCTAACAAAGGGTCTCTGAGAAAAGGAAGCAGATTCATTGTCAAGAATACCACGGTTTGGCCATCAAGGATGCACTGATGCTTTTACTGACAGCCCAGCGCCTTTTACTGAGTATAAATGAAGATAAATATGGTTTCTGTCTTGAAGGCAGCAAGAAGTTCTGTAAGTTGTGCTCGTGTTCAGATAAGTTTGACAGAAACGTTACACAATGCAGCCACTCTTGATAAGATATTTAAGCATGACATGTAATACATTGTATTCTGTTGTATGATACTGTTAGGATGCGTTTCTTTAGCCAGTCATATTCGCCTTTAGAGTGTTGGAGCTGTGTCACTCAAACACCGTAGATACTTTGGTGTTAGATTGCTGGAGCAGGGGGCGTCCGACAACCATCCTCGACCAAAGAACCCTGTACACATTATTTACATCATATAGGTCCCCAAAATATGTTCTGCCATGGTATTTCCTTCTTTGGACCCCCCACATGTTCACCTAAGGCGTCTTAAAATATGTTGTCCTTTGTTCTTACCGTACATGGATTTCTCTTAGGGTCAACTAAATATCAACAGTATGTTTGGAGTTGTGGACCGCTATATATACTTGAACAGTCTCAGACCTCTTCTTGTTACACATGTGGCATGTTGAAGCTGTAACCCAGATCTGCAACCAGTAAAGTTTGTCAAACTGACCATTCGTGTGGACCTTCCATTCTTTCAAGTGTGAACCTGGGCTGGGTAACCTTACAGATACTTATTACAATGGTGGGTATACAGTAAGTACAGTTATAACTAGACTGGCGCCTATTGTTGCAAACAGATAGTTTCCATTATTTCCCAACTGTGATTGGTAGAAATCCCATAACAATACACTGACAACTTGACTCTAGGGTATGGTGACCATATTTTGATTACTGAAAACCAGGACATTTGGCCTTGCAATGAGATACTGTAAGATGCCTTATAATTTCTAAATACCACCTATAACCAAAGACATAAATTCAGAAAGTCTTCTAAGGGGTTACTCAACATGTTTTATTATGACCAGTTTTAACAATAACAAATGAAATAATGATGGAAATAATGTCTCTTCTGTATTAGAGAAAGAATTAAGTAAAAAAAATACCTCTGCTATTGTAGCAATCCGACTTTAGCAAAAATAACTCTCAGAAACTTACAAAAACTAACAAGAAAAATATGTCTCTTTAGTTTCACTTTTCAACCAAGTGACTCAATGAAAAACTTATTAGGAAACAACCAGGATGGACGTGATGTGAAAACAGGACATGTCCTGGGAAAACAGGACGTTTGGTCACCCTACTTTAACCTGATCTGTCATATCATATTGGATCAGTTGGTGGAAGGGAGTCTTTCTCATTTTACACCTGCCTGTTGACACTGTGGCCAAATATTGGTGTTCGTTAGCGGTCTACATTCTCAGTTTCATAAAAATGAGGATGCTGTGATAAAACATAACTTCAGAGTCTGCCATCGTTAAAAGAAAACTGCTGCAAAGACAACACTGAATGATTCGACTGTCTCTGTTCTATGAAAATATGTGGTCAGTTTGAACTTCCTACTAGCAGCACATTGATAAAGTGTCGAGACGACTGGTTGCATTGCCTCTTAAAACATTTTGTCAAACTTTGGGAACTGAGGAGACCACTTCTCCTTTATCGTGTTTCCTCGTGTCGTGATGCTCAAATGGTTTTGTTGCATCATAAGTCGGGACTACAGGCAAGCCACTTAAGCCCACTCACTTCCTATGAATGTTTGTTGTTCACAGTGCTGCAGCCCTCTCATCTTATGTCGTGTTCACACCAAACCAATTTATGATTTATTTATGACTTCTGTGAGTAATTTGGCCCGTTAGGATGAAACCTCCCACGGGAACTTTAGAGGGTGGACACTGTTCTGATTTTCAGGCTGAGCCCACTGTTTTCTGATTTGCCACCTCTCTGGAAACCTCTTCCACTGTTGCCAGGCTTCAAAGTCATTGAGTACATGGGTGTTCAAATGACAGATAATGGGATAAAACCATTAGCATCGGACCCTGAATTCAACTCGGTGAAGCTAGAAAGGGAACCATGGCGAAGAACAGAGCAGGGTGTCTCTGTTTAGTTATTTGTTGACCTCACAATTAGAAACTCAGTCCACGTTTGGCATTGACCACCAACATTTTAGTTTCAAAACAGCATTTTGTCACTTCTTTGAAATGTTGTGATGCATCTGAAGTGTTTCGTAAGATTAAACTGCCCATAATGCACCCTTGAGAAGACCATATTATGAAACAAAACCATGTCTCTTGGTTGTCCATGTTGTAACCATATATTTCAGCCAACTTTAAACCCAATTTCATCATTGAAATCCTGGTAAGTGCTCACTGGGGAACTCATCAAACTTCCTTGTGACTCTGCTCCCATATCTCAGTAAGGTTTGATTTTGTATTTCTGAAAGGAGATGTGAAATTGTTCAAAACCAGCCTTGTGTGTCAGTCTGGTCCACTGCCTTTATTGCACTCGCTGTCAGACAATCTCCTTTTTTCTGGCCCTGCTGCCTGTCCTCTGTCCTTTAACTTTGACATTGTGCTCATTTCATTTAATTTCTTGGACATACTCTCGTCGGAGCAACTGGTGCGAGCAACTGGTGTCTGGCTCTTGTTGCCACAGTAATATACCATCAACCCTCACTATGAGTAGAAATGTAGTGACTCATTATCAGATGTGTTCCTCATTTGGTATCTGCTTCAAACTCCCTGTCGCAGCCAGAACCACTAATGCCACAGATGATGGCGCAGCAGTCAAAGCTCAGCAGTACAACAACAGGGTGTTAGGGTTGTATGCTCTATAAACATTGGCTTCTTTCTACGCACAGAACACACACATGGAAACACTGCCGCTGCCTCCAGCATGTGCTATTTTGCCAACTGCAACCCTGGGCAAGATAATAAGATGGCTAGCAGACATTTTGTCAATATTTCTGTCTTGGCTCAAAGTACGCCTGGCCGGCTGCTCACTGATAGATGCGTTGACTGAATTTGCTTTTTATTTTTTACACAGGAGCTCTGGCCTGCTCCACCAGCCTGCAAGAGAGCAAGCAGAGGCGAGTGCACAGGGAGGAGAGAGGGGTTCGCTAATGCAAAGCAGTTCATTAAATCTAAGCACAAAGCATCTATCAGGAGGGAGGGAAGCAGCTAATCAGTGCCTGTGGGTAGTCCAGCAATATGTAAAAAGAAAATGGTGCACTCCTCTGCTGTGATCTTGTCTGGGGAGCTGCAGAGTTAGTAGATGCTAAGAAGGCAGTGCAGATGATTGATTTTCCAGAAGGATGCTTTGAGACTCTCTTGCTCTTGGTCCCTGCCATCTGATTAACATACACGGCATTATTCATTTCATGAATATACAAGGAGGCCAGGAACAAATAAATACTGACATGCATCCAGGAGCTGATAAATATTAAATGGAGCACACATGGCTTCAGATTTTACCATTTCATAATTTGAGCATTCGTGCTGTGAGGGCCCCAAGCCAAGGTCTAGTGTTGGGTTTGAACGCACTGAGCAGCCATGTGTGGAGACCAAAAGTTCTTCACAAACATCATATTTGTGCCTTGGAAGGTTGTCATGAATATAATTGTCAGGTTAGAGTGGAAGCAGTTCGTGAGTCTGAAATTGAAAGTGTGGCTCATGTGTTCTCATATGTTGCTGTGACTCATGTAGATTACTGAGCTTTCACATCAATACTTCCAAATAAAACATAATATTGTCATTTCATAAAGAGAAACACAACTTTATTGCATGGCAACAGCAAAGGAGGCTTGCAGAATGCTGGGTTTTGAGTGCTGGGGTGGTCAGTGGGATAGTGGCTTAAATGAAGCGTCTTAAACAGAATCTGACATGAACCTTGACGGCAGCTCGAAATATGTAGAGTTTGTTTTTAAACTGTAAATCTGCTAAGAGGCTATCAGAGGGAAAATATAAGAGTAAAGAGACTCATATTTAAACCCTGAGTTATTCAGCAAACTTTCACAAAATTTAATTTGATAAAGTTTCATATAGTGAAGAGGGAATTTGTGATGTTGAAAATTTAATATATCAGTGTTTTCTATGACATGGCTTTGTAAGAAACACATGTTAAGCCAAAGTTTTAACTAAGTTTTTAGTTATTAACTTCTAAGTCTTAACTTTTTTTGTTTTATTATTATTATTATTATTATTATTATTATTATTAATAATAATAATAATAATAATAATAATAATAATAATAATAATAATAATAATAATAATGATAATATTATTGTTATTGTTATAACAATATTAACAACAAATATAACAATAATAACAACAATAACAATTACAATAACAACAATAATAATAACAATAACAATAGGAACAATAACAAAAACAATAACAACAATAATAATAACAAAAATATAGAAATATACCTTTTGATATGCTTTGAGTTTTACACATACAGCTATTCTGGTTGATTTTTTTTTTTAAACAGAAAGCAGCAGCAATGTATATGTAATTACCCCCTGCATTAACTGGAGCATTAAATCACAGTCACCCATGCTCTGGCCTCGCTCAACATGTGTTTTGTAACCTCAGTTTAAATTATACTGTACTTAATCCTTTATTAAATGAAACAACCATCTGTACTGGCTTTATCTGTGTATTTATGTCAGTCGCAGAGTGATTTTTAACTGGCTGCTGGTGGTGACTGCCTGGCAGTACTCATAACTAAAACCAAAATCAAACTTGTCAGTGATCTTGACCACAATCTCACCTCAACGTAAGAACTCTGAATGCAAACATTATTTTGTCAACTTTTGACACAGTCTGGAGCTGCACACTCTTTCCACTTGACAAGACAGCTTTGTGCTAAATCAGCAAAATTATCCATCCATCCCTCCATCTTTTGGGCGAAGTTTTGGAATTTACCCCCATGGGACTATTAAAGGAGCATCTTATCTCATCTTCTACCGCTTATCTGGAGTCGGGTCACAGGGGCAGCAGCCTAAGCAGGGAAGCCCAGTTTTACCTCCTCCCGGCCACTTTGTCTAGCTTTTAACAGGGGACCCCGAGGTGTTCTCTGGCCAGCTGGGAACGTTATATCCAATTCATATGGAATCAACTTCTAAATAAATTGGTTAATAAGTCCTCCTAGTCCAGTTGATTGTCTTGTATATTTGGACATAAGGATGAGAGTGGACAGTACAGATAACTGCACAGCAAGAACAAACAAACAGAGCATTACTATCACTATTCTATTAGCAATACTAGCATGGTAACTCACTGAAGAAACTCTAAACACAAAGTTTGGTCACCAATCAAGAATCATAAATTTATCCTGACACGACCAAAAGTTTCTGATAAACAGTTTCTTTAACAAATGCACCAGATGTCCTTCTCTTCCCGGTGTTAAAAGAGAAAAAAACATCTCCACAAGCCCCACGAGAAGCTTAATTTACGAGGGAATCCAAATTTGTTAAACGCCTGAACGCTTGATCAATGAATAACTTCCAGATTTGTTTTAGACACTGTGTGTTTTTCATGGCAGAAGTAATGATTAAAGCTATGTTCCTTACAGCTTTGGCACACACACATACTACACAAACGTATATACAGAGCATTTATAAGCCTGTTGGCAGAGAATCCAGCTGAGTCTCTGACATACACACGGATAATGTCCCCATTCATTATTCCTGTTTCTTAAATCCTCCTCCCACGCAGCTGGTAGTCTAACATTTGGTAGTAACATCCCCCAGCTTCAGTCACAAGCAAAGAGAAAGAGACAAGAAAGACAAACGCCGCCAATGTGTTTCATTGTTTGAAATACGCCTTTTATTTATCAAGAAGGTGTATCAAATTACCGTCATTAAAGGTAATCAAGGAAACACTTGTGTAATGTTTCTACCTTAGAAAATTTGCAGGCACATGTGAAGATAATTGGATCAGTTTTGCGCCCGATTCCTCCTTTTAGACCAAAGCTGATCTGTAGAGCAAAGGTCCAGATTTCATAGAAAGCAGAGAGTTAGATGGATGTAAGAATTAAGACCAACTTAAAGGGAAGCAGACAGAGTGACAGCTGATTGAAGTTGAACAGGATTTATCTTCATGGATGCAGCAAAATGGTGAGATTGACAACCACCCTTTTGCTTGTCAAGTTTGTTTCCCAACTTTGTACCAAGAATTGGACCCAAATTCAAGACTCCAGAGGTTGATAGGCGAAGTTTGGTACCAAGGAAGGCAGTCAAAGGTATCCAAAAACCATGAGGCAAAACACTGAGTCACAAAATACTACAACGCAGAGACATGAGACGTTTTCTCTAAAAACATGTTGGAGATTTCCATTCCTGAGAAGGTGAATGGAATCTTTTAATACATCCCACTGAGCAATAGACGGCTATTAAACATCTAGTTTACTTTGAGACCGAATTACAACCATCTAGATTCTGTATATTTTTAGACAGAATTTAGACATTGCACTTTAACCCATTATTCGAGGATCGATAATTCGGTATTTATTTTGAAAAGCAGCTGTGAGTTGCATAACTGATCTCCAAGTACTTAACCAAAATATTTATGATAGCCATTGAGCAATATACAGTGTAGTATAGATATTGCTCAGATTTAGATTTAGTCTAAACTTGGTCTGAATTTAGATGTCTAAATAACTTTTTTTTTAAACCTGTGGTAGCCTGATTTTAGACCAGTCGTCGAGGCTACATTTAGATGTCTATTAAACCTCTTTTAGACCAAAGAAATGCTCAATAGGATGGATTTATGGTGCAAAGTAGACTAATATCTAAAAGTAATGTGCATGTTAAGTGCATACTGTCCTGTCTGTTCTGAGCAGGTGTAAGTAGGCTAAAGAGGTTATTGGAAGCTGCAGCTCCATGCACCTGCACAATGCAAGTCCCTAAACACATCATCATTTGTCACGGTGCGCCATGTTCCCATAAAAATTTCATCTCAGACCAGAACTCCAGAGAAGAAGCTCAGAGTAGAGTTGTGTCCTGCTCTTGCAGAGGTGTCTTCTGTGTGCATCACAGAGGTTATTAGCCTTCAGTCCGGGCTTGTTGCCTTGGAATTGTTAAGTAAAGGGTGAGTGTTTGAAGCTCCTTGATATAATGATCCTTGGCAACTGTGAGACTTCAAAGTAAATTGGCAAGAGTAAAAAAGCAGCTCCTCCACCACTGAACAAAATAGAGAAATCAGCCAACTATGTTTAATAGAATTTTCATCAGTGCTCAACCAGTCCCTCAAATGGGTTATCTAAGATAATGGCTGCACGGGTTCATTACCTCCTTGTCAAATTAAATTTCTTTTTCACCTCCAGGGGAATTGGATAGTGATTACAGATCTAACTTTCATTTGGTGAAAGGACTGCAATGAAGGAAACATTTCGACTTCATCTGCAGACCTCTTTTTTGTTGTTTTTTTGGCTCATTCATTTCACTAAGAGAGACGGTGTTCAGGTTAAGATCCACCAGATAGCTGCAAACATTTTTTTTTAATTTTTTGTTTCAAGTGATTTTTATGCTTTAAAATCCTGTTTAGAAATCATTTTCAAAAGAAAATCCAGGGCTTAATGGATTTCTGTTTATCGGTTTTTTTACCAATAAGTAAAGACATTTGAGCCTTTATGAAGCAAGAAAAACAAAACACATCCTTAAAAATATGAGTCAGAACAACAGCAGTTTTCATTTTTACAGTAAATCTGCAGGAAAGCGTCTCCAGCCCTTTGGCTAATTTTCCTCAAAATAATTATGCACAATAACGTACAACATTTCTTTAACTTGCTCGAGCAGATACCATATTTTCTCCTTTTTCTTTTATTCAGAGCGTTTGGTTCGATAACCGTTGCAGGGATGTGGAGAGAAATTCAACTAAAAGAACAAAAAAACAGACAGCTTGTATGGAAACGTTGCTCTTTCAGGTGCTTTCTACAGGTTTATTGTTGCTTAGACAGCCAAAAAGCAATATAAAAGACTAGAGTCAGAGGCAAAAACCTTTACCTTTACTGACAAAAGGAGAGGAAAAGGTTTTTATTACCCCGCTAGTTCAAATTGGAGTGAAAATAAAAGCCGACATGTTTTGACCGTAGACGGCCGTCATTATTGAAGGAGTACAAAGCAAAGTGAACACAGTGGCTTTCTCTCTGGCTGCACCTAAAAAAGCTGCAGAGAACCTCCTCCAAAAAGCATTTCCCTTTACTCGTCTTAGGGGAAGAATTACATCAGGAGGCCCCTCTCAGGGTGTGCAGGATCCAAAAAAACAGATGGCTTCAAAGAGAGCGGGAAGCCACCTGTGTGATGAGTGAACTTTAGTCTTCAAAGTGGAGTGGGTGGAGCCAGCAGTGTCTGGGAGGAAACCTGCACTTTAAAGTTGTTTGATTGAACAGCGTGGGGCTACTTTGAGGAACCAAATATCATCCATGTTTCTCAAAAAATTTAGAAATGCTAATCAGGTTAATGAGGACTTAAAATGGAGTCAGATTAAGTTCGTTTGAATGACCCCACTGGTGCTGCTGTGATCAGATTATGTGACACTCTTGGGAATGATGTTTTCTTCATTATTTGGTTTTTAAAACCACAAATCCATGAGAGTCAGGGTGAAAAATATATTTGATGGTTTGCAAATCATTGAAAGTCTTTATTTGATTGAAAATTGTGCAAAAGCCATGAGAAATATTATCGGTGCTCATTTTAAATTTGATACTGAAACACATTTTGAAACAGATGGGACAGGGACAAAAACAATAAAAGCTAAAAAATGAACAAAAAACACCTGGAGGAACATCTCCTAGCAAGGTATAATGATCTGCAACAGGTTAGTGAGATGACTGAGCATAAAAAAAACACTCAAGACTCTCAAGACGGAGGCTCTCAGAAGCAGAGATGGAAGGAGATTAGTAGATCTGCAATTCCAGGATAATGCTCCTGAGTTTGAAATTACAAAGCATTTGATGATTTCATCAACCACAGACTGTGATATCGCTCAGGGAATCTGGAGAAAATTTTGAGAGACAAGGCCTGTTGCACTGCATTCAAACAGGCATGTCTCTGTAGTGGAGACCACCACATGGGCTCAAGGCCTGAGGATTGTGAAGTGAACTGAGTGGAAAGTTGTGAACTTCAAAATGTGACTTTTGGTTAGTTGGCCATGATGCTTTGTAAGGTTACTGAGTATCAGTGCTCTGTTTGGTGTCCTACTTGAGCTCTTAACCCAACATGGAACCAAAGCTGTGGAGTGCGCTGTAGTGTTGTGTCGTTCGCGAACGATTCGTTCAAAAGAACCAAGTCTTTTAAGTGAACCTACTGAACCGAATCACTTCCTCGAGTGATTCGTTCGTTTCTCACATCATTTGAGCTGGGACCACATGCACCGACGCCTGAATCACTTGGTGAACGAATCACGCATTGATCTACACTCTCTGGACAAAACTACCTTTTTTTCACTGCTAAATTTCCACCACAACAACTTGCATACAGTAGGACACAGCATGTAACAAGTAGTGCATAAAACCCGCAGCATGCAATCATAGCGGTTTGCGAGAGAACGGTGCATGTTCAGTGTGAATTCTCCTAAACGTTCAGTGAACGAATCACTCACTGACCCAAATTTACCGAGCAGACCTGATAAATAGCATACCATAGGACAGTACACTTAAAACATCATGACTTATAAACAAGTTCATTTTTACAAACCTGTTTGCCAAAGCAACACAGCCAAACACTCCTGTCCTCTGGTCCCAGAAGCTTTGAATTGAACTGAATCCTGAACCGTTCAGCCGTGTATCAGTTCAGGAGGTCAGAGTCGCAGGCTCCTCCCGCTAAATGATTCAGTGATTTGATGAACAAATCTTTTTAGTGAACTGATTCTAGTGATTCAGTACATCTAAAAGAACTGCCGTGCCCATCACTAGGGAGCTGCTGTGAACAGATAGTAGAAAATCTTAAAAAATGGGTCTCAATAAACGGAATTATGGCAGAGGAAATTGAGTTTTGCACGATCCAAATAACATACATTTTTTTAGTTTTCATGAGACTTTATATTTGCAAGTAGATGCTACCTCAAAGGATCTAACTGCTCAGATCTTTTGACTGAGTTGACCTCAAATCCTGCCTATCCTATTTTTGCATTAGAAGATATATGTGTTCACAAACTTCGTTGGGGTGGGGTTCTTGAATGTGTGTGTGTGTGTGTGTGTGTGTGTGTGTGTGTGTGTGTGTGTGTGTGTGTGTGTGTGTGTGTGTGTGTGCGTGTGTGTGTTAACCTTGAGATGGTGCTGTTTTAAGTGTGGCTCTGATGCATCACTATGAAAAATGTGTACTCAGCAACATCCAGGTGCGCACACTATTAATATAAAGGTGGCAGCTGCAGAGAAAGTGTGCCTACTTTATCTGTCAGAGTAAATTTAAAGATGAAAATGCTCAGAGATTGAATCTTATTTTCTGTGGAGTGGTTTGTAGAACAAAACAGCAGAAAGGTAAAACAACGGTCAAAGAGGTTGAAACTTAGCTTCACTTTTATATTATGTAGAAATAAGACCTGAGGACTGTCAAAACCGGAACTGAAGACCTGACATTTTACATGTATGGTCACTTTCTTTTGGACTTCTACACACATAAACCACATGAAAAAGTCAATATACCTTAATGACCACTGAAACAGGATAGATGGTTTACCCAATTTCCACATATAGTCACTTCTGCTTCTGTTTTAAATAAGTTGGAGCAGGATACAGAGGCCACCTCATCTCCTTCTGTACAGTCTGTAGTAAAAGTTGAGTGATATTAATACATTTATCATCTGTTGCCCCTAAGTGGTAATAAAGTTTGACTGAGTATCTGTGTGAAAGCGACACTTGTGACAAGTTTCTCCAGTTTTTGATTACAATTCCTCAGGTGACACTTCCACTGTGGAGGCCCACTGAGGAGATGATGAGCAGCAGGTTGTCTGCAACTCAGCGTGAAGGTTCCCTCTCTGCAGATATCCTGATTGGCTGATGTGTGTCTGCGCACGGAGGGAGAGGCCTTCACAGCCAGCTGCAAGACAGCTTCAGCTCCAGCTCTGTTCAAAACAACAGCTTTCCTCGAAGGTATTGATGATTCCTCTCTGCTTCCACAAACATGAGTCTGAAGTTAAAATGAGTGAAAAGTGCTGTGCAACTTACAAGTCCAAATGCGCTTTGCAAAAATATGACAGTATCATGTCGCAGAAGTAGCACACTGCATGAAACTGGCAAGGTTTGGGTATGAATGAGGATCTAAAAGTATTTTAAATAAGTGATTTAATTTCATATCGGATCATTAAATCACTTCAAAGCAGTCACATATGGGTTTAAAATGTTGGGCACATGCTTAATAGGGAAAGTCAAATTTATGATAAAGGACAGCTTTGTATCTATAAACACAAAGCTGTGCCATCTGCTCTGCTTTCAGTACTGCAAGCAAAGCTGTGCAGAGGAGTGGGAAGCATGTCTTATAAAAAAGAAAATATATAAACATATCTTCTTTTTTTGCTTTTCGCTTGATTAAAACCATGAACCTTTACTTAAAAGTATTAATTAATTAGTATTCATCACCAATCAAAAAAAAAAACAAAAAAAAAACAAGGTAATCTGGTCACTGACTTTTAAAGCTGCCTATGAGGAAACTTCAGCTTGTGTTAACTCTGGCGCCCCCCTGTGGACGGAGCAGTCTTTGCTAAGTTTGTCATTCTTCGGCTTGAGCAGTGACAGTCAAATGTTTCTTTTTGTCAAAATTTAATCAGGAAAAAAAATATATTTAAACTTTGATTTTTAATGTCTGACATTAAAAATTAAAGTTTAAAACTCTTTTATTCTTGTCGCTGATGTTCTCGTTTGCTTTTGGATATTCTAACAAGGCATCAATTGAAAAACTCTATTTCATGAACATCACAAAACTCCTTATGAGCTGTCACTTACTAAACAAGAGAGATCCGTTTTAATAAAAATCAACACTGCTGTGGTCCTTACTGAATTACAATATTAAGCATCTCCTGACATCCCCCTTGCTCTTCAATTGAACTCTGAGCAACTTCAGAAAGTAAAAAGACAATCAAACTTTTCTTTTACATCGGCTTTAAATTCATTGTGGACTCCTTGTGGCAATTTAAGAGCTGTGGATTAAATTGTTTTTCAATCCCCCAGTGGCAACATAAACATCACAATAAAAATTGATCAGAAGAAAATTGGCAGCAGGTTCTATTTAGGAGCAAATATGAGACAGAAAACAACAGGATAAAGAGAGGGAAGAACAAGGACTGAAAATGATTATATATGGAAAAAAAAACAGCTTTACAGACAATAACAAAATGTTTTGCTGCTGAGGGGCTAATTAATTTCTCAGCCTCTGTAGGTGGCTTATCGACAGAAACATTTTTAAAAGAGTACCGATGCTTCCAAGTGGAAAAAGTAGAGAGAAGTTTCTGCTCTTAATTAGCAGGAAAACAGATTTAAAGAGATTATCACCACAAATTTAATATAATAAGTTTATCCATTATTTAATGTCTCCACACCTGCTTTCACTGTTTAAACTTTTCCTGAACTTTTTGACTATTTCATATTTTATGGACTGTGCTCTCACTGTTTCCAGAGCGAGGTGTTTGGATACTTTACAAATGTTTAATTACATATATTGCTGATGGCTGCTTCAATAATTCAAAACTGCACAGTAAATATCTGTAATTTTTCATTCTTGAACCAGCTTGTAAACCACACCAGTGGAGGACCAAAAACACACACCGTAACAAAGTGTACGATACTATTTTTAACAAACATGCATTCATTCATTTTATTTATTTCTATGTGTTTCCTGATGATAAACCATTCAAGGCTGTTTAATTTCAATTTAAAAAATGTTTTTTAACAGTACCACCTACAAAAGAGGCCATAATTGCAGAGAGAGACAAAATTTCAAAATATGAGAATATAAAAAACTGTTTTTTTTATATATATACAGACAAACCATCAAAATATGTCATTTTTTTATGCACTAAAAGACAAATATCTGATTGTAACAGGAGGTTATTCAATCTCTCACCTCACTCTCTGTCAGTAGCCCTGAACATTCAGTGTAGCTAGTTCTTTAAATAGGTTTTCTGATGTGTTTTTATTGTCCTGATAGAAAATAAAAATAATTGTCTGTAAATATTCAAAATGTGAGTGTCATTGCATGAGATAAAGTAGATCTTAACCCTTTCTGATACCCCTCAAATACCACTTTCTGTGCTGTACTGTTTTGTTGTATAATTTACATTGTATTTATTCTTATATTGTTTTAATTTCTGATTGCTTGTTTTGTGTTAATTTGATTGATACAGTAACTGTTAAAATGACATTTCCAGTACTATTGCTTGTTAAGTAAACTACAGAAAGTTATATTTCCTTTAGCACATGTGTTGCTGTCAGATCTGAACTGTCAGTTCATTCATAAAGTAAAGTAAGCTTAGCTGATAAGGTGTGTTTTGACGGCCTAGAGGCCGGTGCACTGTTATATTTGGCTACCTTGCTCAGTCTATCAAGTCAATAGCATTGTCCCTATAGCACCATGATCAGATACCCCCAACTGGCCAATCAGGTGTCACAACAGGCCTGCCGTGATGAGAATCTCCACGCTCATTGGATACTGTCATTGTGAGTTAACACGGAAGTTAGTGGTGATTGGTCGCCCGCTTGCCTTTTTCTCTGTACACACCTCTTCACCGTTGGACCAGAAAACGGGCAACAAACACAGGTACAGTGCAGTCTCAAATATCAAATTTAGCTTTATTTTGACGTTAGGACAGTGCAGTTAAGACTCTTTAAAGTGTCTGTATGTGAGGCAGCCATCTGCAATTGTGAAACAGTAAAATACTGACCTTTTCATCAAGTTTTTCTACTTAACTGTCGCTTCGGACGTTGGATAACTGCGACATCTGGATCACTTCTCGTGTTATATGCGGTATTAAATAGTTACATATTTATAACTATGCATATATTTCGTATCAATATTCACTTGGTATCAATAGAGATGAGGTTTTGGAGTCAGAGTCTTGTCACCAGAGGTTCAAACCCCAAAGTCCTGTTATTGATCAGCACCGTGCCTGTTCAATTAAAGTAGACCTACCGGCTTTATGGAGCTAAAAGTGGGATTAAAACCGCAAAAAATCCCTGTTACACAGAGTAAAAAAATAATTAATTTTAAAACACCATGTATACTGTCTGTAAAGAGCTGTTTGTGTTATTTAGCTATACCTAAAATATGACTACACTGATCACTGTTCTTACAGACTATTGACACAAATCCTGCAGCTCACTGTTAAATATTTATCTGTTTTTATGCATAGAGAATTGCTTTACAGACGGGTTTAAATAGTTAAAAGGTTTCTAAAGTGGTCCACAGATAACAGTCCCAGTGATTATAGAGCAGGTCAGCTAATGGCTGGATTATAAAACGCTGGTATCACATAGTTTTTGTCTTTTTGTATGTGATAAAATACAACTAATTGGGAATAACTACCAGTGAGAATCAAAACTAGTGAATTTATTTTTATTGCTGGCTCTTTCTGGTGTTGGCACAGTAAATTATTATCATAAGGGACCTCTGGATTTCCATCCAGCTATCTTTTTCAGTGGATATTAGCAGCAGCAGAAAAAAATTTACACTGTGCCAATGTGTGAGTGGGATCCATTTTATACATTCAAAGGTACGTTTAGTGTCAGTGTTGATTCTGGTTCCAGCCAAAATGAGTTTGAATATATTGGCATATTGGATATCAGCAAAAATCTAATATTCGTGCTTTCATCTAGCAAAGATATTTTAGGTGGCATTGGCTGATATTAGTTATTTTACCATGCCAGTGAGATTAATAAGCTGACCAATGAACTTTTTAGCATGGCTTCTGGGAAATGTTCAGTGTTTTATCCCTGATTGATGTTTTAATGACTAGTTTCTTTGTCTCCTGACAGATTCAGTCATGGATCTTGTGCTGAATGTTGCTGACTACTACGTCCTCACTCCGTATGTGTACCCTGCATCATGGGCAGAGGACGGGGCCCTGCGGCAGATCATCAGCCTGCTGGTGCTGACAAACCTTGGTGCTGCAGTCCTGTACTTGGGCCTGGGAGCCATCGCCTACTACTTCATCTTCGACCACAATTTGATGAAACACCCACACTTCTTAGAGGTATAAAGCCTGGTTCGTATTTTATGATTTGAGCAGCGATAAATCGAGCGTGAGCACAGCCATCTCTGAGTAATCAATTGAACTTTGCATTTACAACCTGTAGAATATAATGCAGCCTAGTTATGTAATAAATATTGCTCTTCTGGAGAGTGTTATGGTGTAACAACAGTTATAAAACACAGCTGCGGTGAATACTTGGTTGGCTGCAGCATATCATAGTAAAAACAACCAAGTAAGAAAAGAGAGGTTAGAGCAGGAAATCCTGACCCGGTGAGCAAGACCCCTCAGCATCATGTTAGGTGAAGGAGAAACCAAGACGAGTTTATGTGCCAATTTTATTACTGTCATGAGTTGTTTCAAATGTCTGATTATAATTTTTTTTCGTTAGAATCAAGTCCAGAGAGAGATCAAGTACGCAATGACGTCTCTTCCCTGGATCAGCATCCCAACTGTGGCTCTGTTTTTTGCTGAGGTTCGAGGATACAGCAAACTGTACGATAATGTCAGTGACTCTCCTCTGGGTAAGCTGAAAACTGAACAAACCTGCTTTAAGACGTTTTTCACTCTTGTTGCATACATAGTTCGTTGTGTTGAAGACATACTTGGTGCTTTCAGGTTGGGCTGGACTCTTCCTGAGTATGATCTCCTTCCTGTTTTTCACTGACATGTGTATCTACTGGATCCATCGGTTTCTACATCATAAGCGCATTTATAAGGTCAGTACAGCTGTGGTTCTGGGTTCATGTGTTCATCATGCTGGACTCTTAGAAAGCTGTGTGTGTTTTTACAACAAAACTTGCTTCATTTGACAAAATACAACTACTGAAATTAGGTAAATGCAGCTGCAGTTAAGAATGCAGTTTAAAGTAGCAGTTTGTCCAATTTTTAAAGCATATAGCTATTATGTTCTGCAGGTTATTTTGAAGCTCCTGTGAGAGGTCCTGGTTTTGAAACAGACTAAAAATCATGCAAAAAAGTAAGCATTAGATGTTTACCTTTGTCATTTTTTTCTGTGCTGGATATTTTATTGAATTGATTATTTACTGCCTTAATCCAGACTGAAATACAACTGTGCTCATCTTCTCCTTCTCTGTAAAAACATGGCAGTGCATGATGGCAGCCTCCATGGAAAGAGGATACTCCTGTCTAGATATACAAGGCTCAGTCAGAGTTAACAAAAACAAGTTATTTTTTCATCATACACTCATCTGAAAATACTTTCAAATACTGAATTATATTTATGATGATCAACCAAGTCCATTCTGTTAAATGCTGCCAAAAAATACACACTATACCTTTGAGAAATTAGGGTTGAATCATTGTTTTCTGACATTTTATAGACAAAATCCATCTAATCATAAACCTAGAATATGATCTGCAGATTACTGGAGGATGAAAACTGGTTGTAGCCTTAGTCTCGGGAATTCAGGAGACATTAGGATTTAAAGCTCATATGGGGAGTGTTTGATTTCAATTTCAATTTGTGTGGATGTATTTTTATGACATTGAAAAGCAGATAAAATCCTCAGCAGCAAGACTGACAATTTCTACATCTTCATTTCTGATGCCTGAAATCGATGTCAGGGGGTAGGTGTCAGCTGAGCAGCTGCGGAAACAGCCGTGTTATCAGTTTCCACATAAAATATTCACATTAAATGACACATTTGGTTGTCAGAAGTTACCAGGAGAAGATTTTCTTTTGTCAACAACTACTAAAGCATGTAAATGACAAGAATAGCAAAGACTACTTTATGAACAATGAATCAAACCTCACAGGAGCTTTAAGTTTGCTTTGTTTTCTGTCATGGTTTGACTTCTTTCCTTAATATTGAAGATATTTCAAAAATTTTAAGATAACTTGATCTCTGTGCCTCACTGCTCTTTGATACCCATATATATCTATTCCAGTTTTTCCATAAACCACATCACGTGTGGAAGATCCCCACTCCCTTCGCCAGCCACGCTTTTCATCCAGTGGACGGCTTCCTTCAGGGGCTCCCGTACCACATCTACCCTTTCTTCTTCCCCCTCCACAAGGTGCTCTACTTGGCCCTCTACATTTTCGTCAACATCTGGACCATCTCCATCCATGACGGAGACTACCGCGTCCCCAGCAGTCTGGAAAGTGTAATCAATGGCTCCGCCCACCACACTGACCACCACCTCTTCTTTGACTACAACTACGGACAATACTTCACTCTGTGGGACCGCCTGGGGGGCTCCTACAGGTACCCCTCTGCTCTGATGGGGAAGGGTCCTCATGATCTGATCCGGAAACTTCAAGCAGAGGGAAAGTTGGCAGATGATGGAGTGAAGTCTAACGGGAAAGTGAACGGACACACTCAGAGAGGGGTCACGTGTAAAGAAGAGTAGGAGTGGTTGACATTTGACAATGATCTCTATTTTTATAAGGACAGTAAACTACACAGATCCACAGCTGGAAAACAGGACTTTTCTTTTATTTCTTGCTGAATGAGCTGCTTTGAGATGTTCAATATAAGGGAATTAGGCGCAGAAAAGATGGCTTTATTCATGTGGCACCCTTTGAAGCAAGCAAGAGAAATAACAGAAACTCAAGTTAGGAACGGACTGATATCCGAATTCTTGCAGATGTCAATCTGACCTCATCTTTGCAGTGCTAGTAAGAAATGCACTGTTGGGTGATTTTTTTTAATACCTTATGGAAGAATTTGGTGCAAATCAAACTGGACTCAGACCCTAGTAGAACCAGGCTTTCAGAAATGTTTGATATATGGGATCATCTATTAAATCTAAATAAATCATTCATTCGTTTTACGCCAAAATAAACAGCCAAAAGTTAAGTGGGTTAGCACAGTGGTGGCCCCCAGGCACCATCTTTCACATTAAAGATGAGGAGGAAAAAAAAACATCTTCTATGTGTGTGATTTAAGCATTTGTCAAATAGGTTAGGATTTCAGCCTTCAGTCTGAGCTTGGCCTTAGTGAATGAATACAGAGCTGAGAGTGTATAGGTATATAATGGAGAAATATAGTCACTGAGTGAAAGTTTGACTTTGAGACTGGAGATGTTCAGTAATTACTTTTTCTGTTTTTTTAAGACGTATTTCTGGGCAGGAAAGAAGATGGATCAGAAAATGGAAAGAAAAAGCAAGCATGCCCCCTTTTTCCTCCTTTTTGATACAGACTCCAGTATCTTTTTTTTTTTGTTTATCTGACATCTGTTGATGCCTTGACTGAAATCTAATAGTTTTAGGCCTATATTACCGAACCTCTGTGGCAATACTTGAGCCACCTTTTCAAGCCACTGTATAATTCAGAAATAAACATTGCCAAGTTGCTGCTCAAAAACAGTTGAAGCTCAGTGCAGGTTAAAAACGTCTGCAATTGGTCTTTAAGGCACTCAGCTCCCACCTCCTATAGGAATCTTGTGCTTTTTGGTGCAAAGGTTTTATTTTACTTAAAAAAATTACTGTACCAGCAGCATAATAAAACAAAAAGTTGAATTAGAATAGGAGTAAAGTGGTTAAAAGAGAGGTGTGACAAGTGATGGAGACATGATGGGCCTTGTCCTTTATTATATGGGGAAAGAAAGTGTGATTTAAAGGATCAAACATGTCAAATGGCTTCTCTGTGGTAACTCTAGATGGCACTTTATCATAGCTGTTCCACAATTTTGTTGTTTCTTAGACTCATACACTCAATTCAGACGAGTAGAGAGCGAAAAAAAAGCAGTTTGATGCAGTGCAATCTTCCTTTAAGACACTTTAAGTACTTTTATTTGTCATTTAAAAAGTTTGCTTTCTCCACTCTGGTGAACGCTGAATACTTGGCAAGGTGAACCAGTCTAGCTGCACCACATTTGACCCTTTTTCTGAAACTTTCACATTAAAACAATATATAAAAGGGGAAAAAGCTTGTGGAATGCTGGTTTGTAGACTCTTAGATTGAAGACAGCAAGTCACCAGCAGGGGGCGAGGTGAGAGTCTTTTTGAGTATGGGTCATGGACAGTGGGCTCATCCAAACCTCATTACCGTCAACCTTTCAACAGGCTGAGCTTAGCTGACAAGGTGGCAAAAACAGGTGGTACCTGAAAGAGCCACACATCTGCATCAAAACTGCACATTGCTTTTTGCATACAAGTTCGACTCTACATTTTACAGTCTCTGCTGGTTATTTCTCTCCAAGAAAATAAAAACATTCTTGAATTTTTTTTTTTTGTTATTGCCATATTTTAAATTCTACAGACATCGCTCAGCTAACTCTGCTGTTAATTAAAGCCCAGATCTTAATTACAGAACAAATGCTGTGCGGTGTAAAATCGGTGATCTGGGACATGCTTGAGTTAATCTCATTAACTTCAGCTTTCTATAGTTTCTTATCAAGTAAACAAAGTTGTGCAGTGGATGAACATGGATGCTTCAAAAGAGATGATAAAATTATTTGGTTGCATTTTAATTACACGGTTCATGATGATTTTCTCTGTCTTTGGGTGATTGTTGTGTTAGTTTGGGAATGAAACAACTTTAACTCCTTTATAAAGACACAGAAGAGATAGTTTTGGATGATATAAAAGATAATAAATGTAGAGCTTTTATGCATTTGAAATTTCCCTGCAGTTTGGTTCTTTGTGCAAACATTTATCTTGATTGTTTTATCAACAGAAAACTAAGGAAAAAGTTTTTCAGGTGAGTTTCACTTGAGTTTATTTCAATGATTTACAAGATTATTGTCCAAAACTTTATTTATAGTTTTTTGTTTTGCGCACTTCGTTACCTGAGATAATAACAGTCAATCCAATTGTACTACTTTGGTCTATGTGCTGTATATATAGATTAAAAACTACATTAAAATAAAGCTTTGAAAGTGTAAAATTGAGGCATCAGACAAAAATAAATTCATTTACAAAATTAACTCCCTGATAGTTTTAAATACATTCAGTATGTCAAACAATCAGAAAGAACATAGTTTGCAGCAGCAAAAAGGATTTAAAAGCGCTTAACCCTAGAGGTAGATCTAGAGAAAAGGCTTCTACACAGATGTCTCGGTACATCCAGTCCATGTGAGCAGGAGGACAGGCTGTGTGCAGTGTCATCATGTCAGTGCTGAAGGTAATCTCAGCAGAAGAAGAGGGGCATCCACAGGAAGGACCTCATGGCCGTCCCGGCTGCTACACCTGCCAGTAATCCCAGCGCCAGATTCTCCATCACTCCGTCATACGGGTCCCTCTGAACAATCACCTGATGGGTACCTGGGAGCAAAAACACAGGAGAGACGCTCATGATGAACTTGTCGAGTCATCTTTGTGTGGAAATTCAAAGAAAAGGAAGAGCTGAGGGAATGTCAACAACTTCGACTTGAACCATCAACCGTCTGCTTCACTCAACACCGATTATACGCAAACCTTGAGGGGCTCCAGCATTTTGAGCTTGTCGTGTGATTGTGCCTCGCTGAAATACCTTTTTCATTCTGTTTCATTTTCAGCACTCCTAAATACAGTTGTTTTTTTTTGCCAAATTGACAACCAGGCCTTAGAGAAGTAGGATTGTGTGGGAGTAAATTACACACTGGTCATTAAAAAGAAGTTGACAGAACATCACCCACAATGAACATTTGTGTATTTGATGACTTTTTACACAAAGAGGCTGCAAGAACATATTAGACCTATGGGGTGGATGCCCATGAAGTCTAAAATGCAGATGAAGTTTTGGTAAATATATTGTAGGAGCCATAATGTTGCTTTGCTTATCGGTTACCCTGTGTTTCATCACTTTTGTCTGGGCTCGGGTCAAACAACGCTACTGCGCAAGTGGTGGAGTGCGTACAACGCTACTGCGCATTGTTGGTTTCTGGAAATGGAGAATTACCGAGCGCTTTTTGGGTTGTCTACAGTATATATTGTCTATGGTATTGTTACTTTAAGAATGGTTTTAAGGCTGACTTAAAAAGCAGTATAATTTATATTGTCCTCTGTCTGCTTAAATTGTCCAGAAAATACTCTTTTGGAATAATTCTAATCACAGATTTTCTTGATTGCTTTTGTGTAGCTAACTACGGAAGCCCTACTGATAATCTCGAGAAAACGGGGGTTTAGGGCTTCCGTAGATATCAAACAGAGGCATCAATATAATTTCAGTCCGTTTCAAGTGACAAGTGACTTTATCACTGTTTTTTATAACACTTTTAGCAAGTTGTTAAAGGTTTTTAATTATGCATTTGCTAATTTCCCACACAGTTCTGTTCCTCTGTGTCTTTCTTCCTTGATTTGTTACACCGCCCGGCGAGCTCTCTAACTGACTGAAATCGAGCGCTCCCCCTCTTAATCACGCAGACGCTCAGCAGGTGCGTGGCGCTGACACGACGTGAATAGTCGCCAAATTACAGAAAACTGTGAGGCATTAAAATGCGTGGAAGTGTTAGCAAGAAGAGTTGGGGGGAAAACAAAAGTTTTACTTCAAATTTGCCTTCAATTGGATTTGTTTGTTTTACATTATCGACAGTGGAAAGGAGAAGGAGGCAGCTATATGGGCTCTGCAGGTGACAGGTAAGCTCCTTGCATGCATATTTGTTGTTTACATTGTTTAGGTGTTGCTGTGTCTTTCTATGCTGATTGTGCTTGATTAATATATGCATGCATACACCACCCGCTGCGGTGTGAAAGTCTGCAAATCGTCGCAAAGAGGTTGTTGACTCTGCTAAATGAGAAACGTTGTGAAGTGATAAATGACATCAAGTCATGCCGAGTAACTTTGGCTTTATGTGGAGTTTCCTGCAGCTCATATATCTTTCTGTACTGTGCAGCTCAGGGAGCAACTCCACTGTTTAGTTGTCCCACACATTAAACAACCTCTAAAAATTGTATGAAATTGTCTAGTATAACACAGAGACCCCAACACAGCTGCTTGAGTAAAGCCACTGGGGTTAGCAGTAACACTCAGGTTTAATAGAACTATACAATCCAGCTTTAGAGCCCCTGTGAGGAAATTTTTAAGTGGTTGTGAAACAGGTTTGGATTAATTTTGGCTCCTCTTTACTACCTGCAAAAGCAAATAAAACCACCAGCAACTACACTGACAATTTCTGCATCATGAATTCAAATGCCAGAAACCACTGCAAAGGGGAGAGGTGAAATGTCAGACCAGATAGTTGAAAGAAAGCTACAGACACAACCGCTGTTTACATTTCCACAACAGCAAATATTCTCAGTAAGTAGAACAACAGGGGTGTGTCCAGAAGGGCAGCCAGTACGGTGGCCGAGAACTGCCACTGCTGCAAATAAAAAAGAATGCAAAAGAAAAAAGAAACCACAACACAAGTTACTGAAAAAAAAAAAATAAGTAGAAAGAAACCGAAGCCCGCTGCAAATAAAAAACGAAACGGTCCAGTAGTGATGGGCACTGCGGTTTTTTTTAGATGTATTGACTCACTAGAATCAGTTCACTAAAAAGATTCATTCAAAAGATTCATTCACCAAATCATTTAGTGTTTGGTTGTGTTGCTTTGGCAAACAGGTTTGTAAAAATAAACTTGTTTATGAGCCATGATTTTTTGAGTGTACTGTCCTATGGTATGCTATTTATCAGGTCTGGACTCAGTGAGTGATTCGTTCACTGAACGTTAAGAAGAATTCACACCGAACATGCACCGTTCCCTCGCAAACTGCTGCAATGATAGGATGCTGAGGGTTTAATGCACTATTTGTTACATGCTGTGTCCTATTGTATGCAAGTTGTTGTGGTGGCAATTTAGCAGTGAAAAAAAGAAAGGTAGTTTTGTCCGACAAAAATGATTCCTGAGGGTGTAGCTCAATGCATGATTCGTTCACCAAGTGATTCAGGTGTCATGGAGTCCCTCGTTCGCCGGCTGCTGGCCTGGCAATGCTGTTTCTCACTTTTGCACAACTGAAGTGAGAAACAAACGAATCACTCGAGGAAGAGATTCGGTTCGGTACGTTCACTTCAAAGATTCGGTTCTTTTGAACAAATCGTCCGAGAACAACACAACACTACGGTGCAGATAAAAAAAAATTAAAAATAAATAAACAGAATTTAATGACACAAAAAAGTGGTGATGCAGAAAAAAACATAAATAAAAGTTACTTACTGAGAAAATAAAAGGATGCAAATAAATGAAAAAAACCACAATGGAAGTGAGCTGACGGGGACCAATAATGATGATGCACCGGTGTTTTACGATCTAGGCACAGAAGAAGACAGCGAAAAGATGAGCAAAGAAGTAACTGGAAAGGTCATTGTTTAATTTAACTTTGTAAACTTTTCAATGTGTCATTTGTTTCAGTTCAACTTCATATCGACTCAGGTGCTACATGGCCTAACCAAATGACACATTAAAAAGTTTACGAAGCGAAATTAAACAATAACCTTTCCACAAAATTCTTTGCTCGTCTTCTGGCCGTCGTCTTCTGTGTCTAGATTGTAAAACACCGGTGCATCCTCATTATTGGTCCCCGGCAGCTCACTTCCATTGTGGCTTTTTTTATTTGCATCCTTTTATTTTCGCAGTAAGTAACTTTTTTTTTGCCATCAGCACTTTTTTTTTGCATCGTTAACTTCCATTGTGGCTTTTTGATCTGCACTATTTCTTTTTTTATTTGCAGCGGGCTTCGGTTTATTTTATTTTATTTTTTTGCATCAGTAACTTCTATTGTGACTTCTTTTTTTGGCATTCTTTTTTTATTTGCAGCAGTGGCGGTTCTCGGCCACCGTAAGCCAGGGGTGGCGCAGGTTCCAGAGAAGCTGGAGAGGATTTCTATCCTCCAGACTCTCCTGTAGGCCAAGACTGAGGGAATCTGAGTGCTCAAGTTTTTACTTTTCCCCCCAACATAGAGGTCTAACGTTTGCTTCAGGTGGAAATATCCAAGCCATAAATTGTAAAAGTCAATACTGAGTCTGTTATTGTGCTCCCTGTATCACCATGGTAACATACCTGGTCCTGCTCCTGGTGTGATGTAGACTGTTTGGTATCTGTTGATGGGTATTTCCTGGTAGGAGTCATCGTATGGGTCATAAGTGAACACCTACATGAAGAAAACGGCGCTTTTAGCTCTGAGGTCAAAACACCAAACTGCAGAGAGAGCGAGGAGATCATGTTTCAGCTCAAACAGAGAGCACAGATCACTCACCGGGTTTCTCCTGGTCTCTAGCAGAGACAGTTTCCAGGCTCTGGAAAATAAGAGAGAACATGGATGAGGAGAGGATGGGTGGTTGTTAGGGGAGGCAGAGCAGGAGAGGAGTTTGACAGAAAGAGAGAGAGAGAGAGCACTTACATGGATTCATCCTCGCTGTTCGTACACAGGTTTAAGATGGAGCCATCTCTGAGCTGGATGGCAATACGATTTTCTTTGGGATTGCTCTCCGGTGGACTCACATCTGCAGCCCAAAAGATACAGGAAAGACATCATTAACACACACTTTGGCTGCAAGCATTCATTCATTAAAAATATGAAACAATGAGGACAGCTGTACGACTTTGATTTCAACTGGTCGGGCCAATTAATCAGGCTGAGGTAAATTAGAAATTGAACAATGAAATGAGAATAAATCAACTGCAGAAAGCTTTCCACTATAGTGAATGCCCTCCTTGGGGTTCATAACACCATCTCAGAAACTAATGAGTGATACCAAAGAGACTATGTCCATATTTTACACACTCTGTGGTTAAATTGGTAAAATTATTGCTGCTCTAAGTAAAGTTGCACATTTTAAGTCTAATACTGCCTGTCTTTTAAGATTGAAAGAACTTGCACACTGACTATTTCTTGACTTTGAGTGCAGTTTGCCTCTTTCACATTAAGCAAAGATATTCAGTCCATTGATGACATGAATAATATTGATCAGTAAAGCATTTGTTTGCCAGATTGAACTTTCTTTGTTTCAAATATCTTGACGTGAAACAGCTCGAAACTTGTACGTGCTCTACCTCCACACTCCAGTCCAGATCTGACATCCACACACGAGGTCTTCAGGCTGATTCGGTGCTCCAGATCTCGCCTGTTGTCTGATTTGTAGAAGCAGAGACTCCCGTCTATCCAAAGGTCGCACCAGTTTAACTTCCAGCGTTTTAGGACAGATGCTATAGGAGAGAGACAGATCCATGAGTGTAGTAACTGTGATCGCCCTTGGAGCACTATGATGATGATAAACTCAAATTGACCATTCATTAGACTTAAATAGAGTACTGACAGAGTTATCTTTGAACGCATAACAAGGGGGTCGTAGGTGAAGTCAGTTTAGTCTGTTTTCTGAAGGATTCATGTCCATTGATTGTCCGGGTAAGCCAATTAGAGAAATGGTCCAGGATGATTAAGGGGATTATGAGTTACTAAGGTTGATGTTCTGTAACTGAATGTCATTTATAGGGAATAGGAAAGTGCTCACAGTATTAAAATAATACAGTTGACACAGGCAGACTCTTCTGAAAACTAAAATTAGCATGTGGAGCACGAGGTCTTCAGGTCATGTTGTGTAACAGATGTAATGCTTGGACTTTTCTATCAGACCAAACTGTGACTCACAATAACAATGCATCAGATTTCATATAGCGCTTTATATCAGTGACCTCAAAGCGCTTTACATTGGATACATTAATCATTCGCTCAAACAGTCACACCCTGGTGGTGGTGAACTACCTTAGTAGTCACAGCTGCCCTGGGGTAGACTGACAGAATTGTGGCAGTCAATTTGGCCTACGGCCTCTCCGACCACCACCAAACATCACTCACAATCATACACCAGTGGAGGACACACACTGGGAGCAAGGTGGATTAAGAGTCTTGCACAAGAACACAGCACTAGGGAGAGTGTGGGGATCAAACCGTCAACCTCCTGAGCTACTGCTGCCTCTAAATAATGACTCCAATTATCTGTAAACCAGATATGTTTGACCATCATTTTTATGGCATGAAAGCTTCATTTACCTCTCTGTTAGCTCCCCCTGGCATTGAATGCATCATACATGAATATTAAGACATTCAAGATGAGTACATATACCGCAGACAAGTTAATCACTGTCTGTGAACCCCTAAAAGAAAAGTTCGCTGTTGAAAATCAACAAAAACAGTAAGTCAAACAATAAAAGCTCAAAATCTCTCATTGGAGTGATTCAAACCCACACATTTGGGGCTTTTTTGTGGAAACACTTCATAAAAATGGTTAATTCAGCAAATTGTTGCTGGTTTAAGTGTTTTAGGTCTTAAATGATTCCTCCTCACATCAATCCCCCCAAAAGTTACTGTTTAATAGGTGAAATGAAAAAAAGAGAGTCCTGTTTGTACTCACTCTGTCTCCAAATCCAGCCAGACCTCATCAGCGCCATGTTTCTGTTCAGCTATTGCTCCTCTGATAATAATCCAAAAGAAAAGGAGAAACTGAACTTGTTTAAAGTCTGTGGGTTTTAAAGACTCAGCAGTTTGTTCTGGACTCTCCTGTCTCTGTTTACGTCCCCTTTGTGAGGGCCTGCTGGATTTAAGTAGCCAGGACTAAGGCTGACTCACAGGATCATCGTGGATTAACCGTGTTCAGCCACACCTCCTCGTCTTGTCTCTTTCTGGCTCTTTCTTTTCTCATTTCTTCACCTGACTCTCACTTTGTGTGCTGTTTACATTGTTGAATAATCTTACTGTACACTCGACTAAGGTTGTGTGATCCTTGTGCCATTTACTTTGAAGTATATATTTAGTAGCCCTCACATGTTAATCCTGGCATTGAGGATTAGCCAGATTGTAACTGTCCTCAGGTCTGTTATGAAAGTCTTCCCGGGACATCAGGTGACATCATTTCCTTTTTATAGCTCAGAGAAAACACTAGACAAGTCTTTATCAGTCAACATCAACGAGACTGAGTTTCTAAATTTAGACATTTTTCTTTACCCCTGTTTACAGTTAAATAAACCCATAACTTTAAGAGGCCTCTGAGCTGAAAGCATTTTAAGCGTTTCATGTTAGTTCCCAACGATTTTTTCATTTTATTTTATTTTATTTTGAAAAAACAGTCACTTTTTTGCCATTAAACAACAACAAAAAATAAAAAAAAAAGTGAGACAAGTAGCGTTTATTTAAAGTACACATGTGGGAGTGATCTTACTATGCCTGGTTTTATTATTTTTTACATTTTCAAAGCTCAGAGAAAGAGTGGTCCCAGCAAAGTTAGTCACCTGCTTATCGCATCATTCATGTTATTTATACAGACATTTTTGACAAGAAAAAAATTGTTTTTGTGCTGCACAGTGAGATGAAAAAGTGAAACATATGGAACATAAAAACACACACACCCTAACTAAACTTAAATGAGTTTAACAAAAGTTGAACTTGCACACAACAAAACAGAAAAAAATATTTTATGACATTAAAGAAATAATGAAATATACTTTAAAATGATAAAAAAACATGTAAGAAAACTAATCAAATAAGACAAATTAGAACACTGTAAAAACAAAAACATATTACAATATAGAAAAATCACCATAGAAATAACAAAAAACACACAAGTTTACTGTTAGAAATTGAACATTTAAGCAAATTAAAGAGCACAGAAACCACACATCTCTTATGATGAGTCAAAAGTATAATTTTTGCAGCGTAACTCAAAAGTTGTGAAGGTTTTGGAGAATTTAAATAATTTATATTTGATCATATATTTATAAAAACTTTTAAAGTTGGTGTTAAATTTATTGCTTCTGTACATTTTTGTTCATTGTTTAATACACCTGAAATGAAAAGCCTCTTAGTTGAGCAGATATGTTTTCTAAGCCCCGCTAGCGCAAGTATTTTATACACAAAGCTGAAGAGGCTGCTTCATCCACAGGGGGGCGGCAAAATTGATAAAAACACAGGAGCTTTAATTCAGATTGTTTGAAAACAAAAGGTGATACTCTACAACACTGTGCACAACAGATACTTATTCATAACCCTAACTTCAGTTTGTTACACATTTTACAAGCGCTTCAAATATCAGCGAGGTGTGAAGGTGCCTCAGATGATTGAAGAATGATGCGCTCAAGAAGCCACACGGTTTCTCTGTTTTTTTCTAGTTTGGTGCTTCAAGCTTTCAACATTTTTGTCGCACAAACAGGAGAAAAGCCCCAAAGCTCCTTTAAGGCTTAATTACGACTGCGGACCCTCCTCACACTGAAGTACCCGCTCATCTTTGCCTTGTTTTTGTGAAGCTGTTGCCTAAAATTAACAGATTTCAGTCACAAGCACAGAGTATCTCATCAACACGGTAACCCTTACACGTCGTATAGAGCATCACCTGCAGCTTTTGAAATCTACACAGTTAGACCATCCCTGTAATTTTGTGCGAGCATCTGAAGTTTTAACACTCACAATTACATGCTGTATGTAATTAGCAACATAATCTTCGTGACCTCTCTGTCCAAGTGAGGTAAAAGTCCCTGTCATAAAAACAAGCTTCACATTAAGATATCAAAATGATTTTAAATCAAACAATGACTGTTGAATATCTTGAAGCTACTGTAAGGTCTGGGTCTGCCACAGTGTCATGGTTGGCTGATATTGTTGTCATAATGTTATCAGTACCACCTGTGCTTTCCCTCCCAGTCTGGGTGTCAGCTTTAAAAAGCTCCATGGCACAAAATCAATCTGTGCTTTACACTCAGTGACCTGAAAACTACACACCAATATAGGATGTAATAAAACCCCTCAGAGAAAGCTGCCATAAATCCTAACTTCATGAGACGTACTGTATCATTGTTCAAGTGTCGACACAGAGGCTGGCTCAAATATTATTTTATGGGAGAAGTCAGTGCAGGCTCTTTATTGAGTTGCCTTGAACTTAAAGACCTAAAAAAAAACCTGTTTTCTATAATGAAAGGAGTTGGCTCGGTGCTTCCAGTATTTAAGAGAAGTAAAGATTGTATTAGTGTGAGTTTCTTTTCAATTTGGCCCGTGTGGTGTTAAGCTCTGAGGCTGCGCTCCAAACTGAAATAATGGTATTCTATGAGTCTGATTGGAGAGTATATAATGGATGAGGATGTATTGACAGTATTATGCTCTGCTCAGACATTCAATTCAAGTACACTGATTATCCAAAAAGTCATCACATGAAAGAGCAGATTTCTCTTCACTACCTTTTGTCACAAACCTGACCTTAGCCACTTTCATACTGGAAGCACCAAGTCAAACTAATTTCATTGTGGAGAACCATTTCTTCACATCTTTAAGTTCAAGGAAACTTAATAAAAAGCCTGCACTGACTTGCGCCATTAAATAATATTTGAGCCAGCCTCTGTGTCGACAACTGAGTAATGATACAGTATGTCTCATGAAGTTAGGATTTATGGCAGCTTTCTCTGAGGGATTTTATTATATTCTATATTGGTGTGTAGTTTTCAAGTCACTGAGTGTAAAGCCCAGATTGATTTTGTGCCATGGAGCTTTTTAAAACTAGCACTCAGACCGGGAGGGAAAGCACAGGTGGTGCTGATAACATTATGACAACAATGCCAGCAAACCGTGACACTGTGGCAGACCCAGACCTCACAGCAGCATTTGACAGTATTATGGTCTGTCCTTGTATTCAGTTCAAGTTCACTGACCATGTTTACCTTGAACACTGATTATCCAAATAGTCATCACTCACAAAAGTAGATTTCTTTTTGTCATAAGCCTGACCTTGGCCACTTTCATACCTTATCATATAAAACAAAACGCAGCAACTTCCCGTTTTTTTCTGCACAATGGCAGCTACTTTTTATGTTTTGCGTTCTTTTTGTCAATTATAGTCTTTTTGTTTCTCACGACAGTTTCAAATGCAGGACCTTTATATGAAATCAAATATTTTCTTTTATTTGCACTGGTTTTATTGTCCTTGGTTTTTCTACCACTTCTTCAAACAAGAGTCAGGTTTGGTTACTTCTCTTACCCTGTGCTTGTAAGTGAGTACATTTCAATACCCCCTTATTTATTTATGTGACATGGCTGCCATCTGGTGGTGGTTTGTAATAGGCCAGTTCCATTACTAGACAGCTATTTTCAAATATGTCTGATAGGTATGACCATTGATTCAAGATTATTACAACTAGTAAATTAAAGAGAGTGGTTAAAATTACTTAAGGATGACTCCCCTTTAGTACACAAAATCTTTGCGTTTTTCTATGGTTAAAATCAATTTATTTTATACAGCATGAGGTTCGGGGAACTTTGTTTAAGGCAAGTTAGAACTGTAAGGAAGATGAGCTCAATCTTACATTTGTTCTGCATCAGTTAATGTTGTTCACGTGGGGAAAAATGCACAGACTCAGCACAAGCATCCAGAGATTTTAGAAAGAAGATTTTAGGATGGGTAAATTAAATGATGTGAAGCTCTTGCTATGTGGAAAGGCAACTGCTTTTGGTTCAAGTATTTGATAATCAAGCAATTGAAAACTGTTGTCTCTCTAAATTGTTTCCACTAGATGAGGGAGAGACTTTTTACTCACCAGCTGATTAATTAGGCCAACTATTGGCATTTTGACATAATTGGCATTATGTGGGCAACCAATTTCAGATGGCTGGACATAAATCTAGAAGTCCTTTTGCGGCAACATTCAATCTTGCCAAATATTATTTAATGTAACTTTATTTTAACAATATTCACTTAAATTCAGTATTGCGGTATCATTATATTGTCAAATGCAAAGAGGAAAAAAATTAAACTGTGATATCAGCATAGATGGTAAGCTAGCAGTTGACCACTACCCTCAATTTGCTTGTATAAATGCTTATATGTAAGAATTATAGCAAGTTAATGCTGCAAAAAGGGCTTCATACCAAATGTGTAGATAGATAGATAGATAGATAGATAGATAGATGAATCAATTAATAATACTCTTAGTCCTTTTCTAAAACATTCTCTTCAGGATAAACAAAAACGTGTAGGTATGAATGAAATAATGCTCGATAAAATTGTAAAAGTTAGCCTATTATGAAAATAAAAAAGACTGCTATGATATTAAGGCTCAAATTGAAGTGATTCAAATAAATCAGGTCTTAAGTTTACTAAATACTCGTCCTATAAAGTGTTTAATTTTCGTTTTATTTTATTTTATCGTTAGCAGAATGTACAGTCGAACGAGGACGGAAAATAACAGGACTTTCAAACTACGTCATATCCGGTATAGTGGGCGGGCCTTAGAGTGACAACTAACCGAAGAAAAACAAAAACAAACAGAGCACGGAGGGGGGTTCCGGGGACGGTGAGTGTAATGGTCTTAAGATAAACCCTATCCGTTAAATAATTACAGTATGTATGGACTGACGGACGAGTTCTTCTCACAAAATAAGTCGAATTTAGCGTCTGTCCCGATGTAAAAACAGGTTGCTCTGCTGCTTACTGTACAACCATTGTGTTTCAAACGTGTTGAACAGCTTTTCGAGTCTGACAGTAATCTGAGAAACTATACTTGGATGTGAAATACGTGGATATCACACATTATCGCGGCCACTTTGAGGGTTTTAGTTTCAAATGCGCATTTGCTGTTCCTTGTTATCATGCATGTTCATCATTGAGCAACAAGGCCTCCATAAAGACGCTGCACTTTAACCAGACCGAGCTCACCGAAACCCCGTTACGAAATCTGCCACCTTTACTGTCTTTTGCTTTGTGGACAGTTTGAATGACAACAACTAAACTTTTGATTTTCTCATAATCTCTTTGGGACCCTTATTAATTCGGCAACAATACTTAAGTTGTTATTTTGTTAAAAACTCTATAATGAGAGTCTTAAAGTCGTTGCTGCTCGTTCACCACACCATGGAGGGCAGTAGCGAGTCGCTCAAGAATTCTAAATAAAGTAGGAAAAACAGTTTTTCTACGGATGCCCTGAATGTTTGTGCAAACACGCGCTTTGTTTTTATTTATCAAGTTAGATTTAGTTACTTTCTCATGAACTTGACTTATCCCACGCTCATATTGCATGTCCCTAGATATGTAAAACCACATAAGTAAGACTTAAATTGGCTTAGAAAGGCATGTCTGGTCTAGCCTATTACAGTCAGTAGGTTTACATGCATAGTTAAGTTAAGCTATGGTTATAAGCTGTTTAACTGGACCAGTGTTCTGGTCCCATTACTCAGGGAGGAGGCTATGTTAAGTGGTGATACACCCCCTTTACAGCTGTATACTGTTGGGCTGTCTCCTATTTGACCTATTGCATCATATGCCAAAATAATAGACTAACCAATTAGCAAGTGGCAAACTGACAACTCAACAGCTGTAACTTCTGCTGCCCAATTTCCAGGTAAACCCAGCATGCCAAGTTTAAAGCATGCCTAGAACCGTTGGACTAGTTTGGGCCACATTCAGGTGAATACTGTAGTGTACATGCACGAGAAATCAACCCGCAGCTGCATTATATGTAAATCAATCTGACTTCATGTCATTCAGCTCAGTCCAATGTCAGTCATGTATTTCAAAAGTCCTGTTTCAGATGGTCTAACCTGACAACCTGATGTTTTAAAATATCTTGTTTACAAACTGAAACCAGCCTGTTCGGTTGTTTTCCAGACAGTCATAAGATTGTTGTGTCATTACAAGAAAGAATACTGTCTCATCTTCATTAAATGAGAAGAGAGCAAAAGAAAAGGGCTCCTTGTTATTGGACTGTAAAGTAAATGTGTGGATTTATGTCCTCGTGGGGCTTCAGGAGGTTCTGCTTGTTTTGTGTGCAGCATCTAAAGGGGGCTGAGAATTACTAGACAGACATTACTTTAAAAAAAGAAACGCAAGAGGTGTTAATAATAATCTTGGAGAGCTTGCATCACATGGGTGGGTTTTAAATAGCGCTTTCTCTAAATGGGGGATCACATCACCTTAGAATAGCATATGTCCATCAGAGGGGTTAGCCCAAGGGGTTCAAGTGTTGTAAGTGCTTTGTATTGGACTGTACTTGAGTTACTAAATTGCTTCCTTTACCCTGCAAGGATCACAGCTGTTCCTCTGCCTCCCTTCAGGCAGCCTCAAGTTTCACTCCTTTTTAATTAGTTCCTTTTCTCCAATCCATAAACCACAAATTTGATTTACTTCTTCAAGCATGTAATTGAGTTTTCTCTGGTTTTGAGTTTAGCTCTCACCATGGTTTTCTCTCAGCAGCAGAGGAGGAGGCACGCAGTCTGATGTGTCGTTGAAAACTGTCTCTCCTTTGGTCTCTGATACATCAGAGCTATAAATCATGAGATCTGTGAAATGAGAAGCTTTCTATGACAGAAACATCAGACAGAGTGCGGACACAATGTACTCTCAATTTGCAAACCCGTCACCTCAGGTGGGCCAAGTTTAAGATGATCAGACCCCATCTGTGTGAAACTGATATGGCTGATCAGGGTAGAGGTGGGACGCTGAGTCCTGAACACCTGGGTGCTGCGAGGGCACATGAGGCCAAGGTTATTCATTGGGATATAATCAACTTAATCAAAAAGATGTGCTTAAACCATTAAAAAATAATCTTGTGTTTGGTTCTGGTCTGCACACCAGGAAACTCCCATTAATTAAGCACAAAGCCAGATCTTGATCTTCCTCAGACATCAACATCTTCTCCTTTAGTCGAGCTTCCTGTTGTGTGGATCTTTGTGTTTTTTATTATGCTTGTGAGTTTTGGATCCAGCATTTGCAGTGTCTGTCTGCAGGACGTGCGTGTCTGAATCTGTTTTTAACTGTGATTGATGCATTGCATTCATGCAGATGAGATTACAGCACCAGTACAAATGTGACTGCTCTCGTTTTATTGCCTTCAGATACAACTTCTGCTATTAATACTGCTGGTTGTAATAAAGCTGTCACTACATCTTAATTTCTACATTCACATTTCTTCTTTTTTTTCTGCTGGAGCAGAAGTTTGGCTTGAAAAGAATTGTCAAGGTGACCGGGTGCTGTTGTCTACTTTGTAGATTTTTTTTCAAAGACTCTTGTTATTGTTCAGGATTAAGTTTTTTTGAGATTTACTGTCAAATCTGTCAAGTTAAGGGGGTGTTACTTTGCTCTTTAGGACACAACTTGTCAATCACAAGCATTGCAAACAGATAGCAATGTAATGGTGTCGTCAGTTTCACTTGATGGTTTGAAACAATTGGTCTCCTGGGCATAAAATGAAGTTTTGTTTCAGCTGCAGTGGGTTAGAGCAAAGGGATCTACTAAGACCATTTTCTCATGCATTCCTATCACCCCCTTTGCTCTGCTTGCTACATTAGAAGACTTACAGCCAAAATGGCAGGAAACCAGCATCAGGACAGAGAGACGATTTCAAAATCATTGATGCTCTTGTCTGGTGGCTTTTAAATCTGACATTTAGAAGCATTTTTGTTTCTTGTTAAGTATTTATAGATTGATTCTAAAATGTCAAATATGATTAATTTTCAGGGACAAAGAAACATCCTCAGGCTGCTTCTTTTGTCCCAAGAATTACAAAAACACTAAAGTGCTTAAAGTTTGCTCACATTATGAAGAGTAAATCTCTGTAAGTAATAAATGTAAGCCAGCCAGGGTTTGACATTTTTCCTTTGGACATGCCGATGAAACAGCTCATCATCCAGCAGTGAATTTAATTTTGATCAGCTGTAGATTTGCCTGATGGTCTCAGAGCTTCACTAAATGACTTCCAGCAGGAACAGCTGGTTTGACTTCACCGTGAAGTGCTCTGGTGTCAGCTGCTCACCTGCTCCTGTCAGTGCTGCTCTGCCTCTCACGTGTCTCTGCTGTTTATTTTGAGGTGACTTTATGATGTGAGGGGATATTTTTAGACCTGAAGGGATATTTTTGTGTTTCGTGTAAGAGGATAATTTTAGACCCTTGAAACTAACACATACACACTCGGCTGTCGGCTGCTCGATGGTGTTGCTTTCCAGTGACAGGAATGTTAAAGTATAATTGTCGTCAGGTTGTCCTTAAATTTTAGCTCCTCACATTTTGAAGTTGGGATAACCAGTGAATCTTGATTTTTCTGTCCATCTATTTCAAATTTCTAAAGCATATTTTAAGGTATAACTTCAGGTCTCTAAAAAGAGCAACACCAAAAATCTGCTGATTGAGAAGAGCTGTCTATGTAATCAAAGTTTGTCGTAGCTCATTCCTGTGTCTGTAAAAGAGCTTCATTGTTTCCACTGAACAATTAAAAGCTTATCAGTGAGTCATTCTGCTGGACTTGGGGACGTCACCGTGAAAACAGATGCTGCAGTTGAGTCTCGGTTGATTTCTCGTGCCCATCTTGATGCTTTAAATACTTACAAGAACACTAAATCTGCAGCCAAAATTAGTCCCTTATGGATTTAGTATTTCCTATCTTAAGCAATAACCCCTAAAAGAAAGAGTTTCCAGCTGCTGTGTTAAGATAATGAGCTGTAAGGCAAAAAACTTATATTCCTGACCAGTTTTCAAAGGGCCTTGTTTAACTACTGTCGACCTTACACCTTTTGTAAATCATTTGCTGTTTTTTTCACCCTTTGCTCTACTCTCCTGGTTACCTACTCAGGGCTTAAACCATGGAGCCATCCTCTGATGAAGAGGAGGCGCGTACCTTCATCCGGGTGCTCAGCGAGAAGTACAACCCTGAGAATTTCCCCTACGGCCAAGGAGTGGTGGTCATGCCCAGCCCACCTGGCTCCCCAGTCAAAGGTGAGAAAGGGTGTAAGGATGTGAAATCGGGGTAAAGAGTAGAAGTTAATGAATCAGTGAGCGCTGAGACTGCCTGTAATTAGTTATCAAGGCCTACATATTTACAATGATTGGTATATTTGCAGATCGCCTGTTCCTGCCTAGCATACTTGTACTAAACTACTGCGGGATCAATAAAGCCGGTGATCGCTCAGACATCGCAGCTTTCTGTGGTCATGTGGTAGAGCTGGACCTGTCCCACAATGAACTCAACGACTGGGCAGAGGTAGGTCCCATAACAGGCACGGCTTGTAAACACACAGGAGGTTGTGAAATTCACACGCTCAGACATGCGCGCACAGCGTTGTTTCGCCCCGTACATCCCCGTATGCCCTCTCTCACACCTCTGTTACCACCTCTGACTTTGCCCTGCTATTGTTATTTTCTTTATCCATCCCTCTCTCTGTCTGCATCTGCCTCCAACCAATTCCAATCCCAACATGGCAGATGGCTATCTAATAAGAGTCTGGTTCTGCTCAAGGTTTCTGCCTGCTGAGAGGGAGGTTTTCCCCTGTAACTTGCCTGACCTCTTTCTCTTTTATGGTATAGTTTATCCTGAACCTGGATAAGGATGAAATGCACATTGAAAGAAGAAGATGATTTTTTTTTTTAAACTGAAACAGACTTTTATTTATTGCACATTTGTAATGTTCCAAATTTGGTTTCATTTTTGTTTTTGTATGTTTTTTTCCTCCAGATCTGCACCATTGTTTCCAGCATCCCCCACCTGGACTTCCTAAATCTGAGCATGAACCCTCTGAGCGGTATGAGGCTGGAGCCCAGCATGGCCTTTGTTTTCTCCAGAGTCCGGCAGCTAGTCCTCAACAACACACACGTCAGCTGGGACACAGTGCACACGGTCACACAACACACACCAGAGTAAGCGACGAAGTCTGTAAATATTGCCTTTGGATGCACGGCTGATGTATCATTGAACAAATGAAACACGTAAAGGATAATTGCACATAGTTGCGGAAGAAGTAACAGGCGGCTTTTATTGCTTTCAATAATGGGACTTTTGTTTATCTTTAATAAAAAGCTAAATTTTTGTCCAAAAACTGTTAAACATAAAAGTCATCCTTGGGTCAAACCCACTTACACCACCTCGCAACTTTCAATACTCACCCAAGGACCATATTTGTGTAGATCTGAACCAACAATAATCCCTTATAATTGAAAAATCTACTGTTTAAATACTGTTGTGTAAAAATACTCTGGGTAGATAAATAATCTATATTGTACTGTATTACTCTCATATAATGTACCCTTGTTCTGCCTCAATTGTGTAGTAATGTAGCAATTTTGGGGCGGCAGTAGCTCAGGAGGTAGAGCGGTCGTCCAATGACCGGAAGGTTGGCGGTTTGATTCCCCCCTAATCCAAGTCTGTCCGTTGTGTCCTTGGGCAAGACACTTAACCCACCTTGCTCCCAGTGTGTGTCCTCCACTGGTGTATGATTGTGAGTGTTGTGTGGTGGTGGTCGGAGAGGCCGTAGGCGCAGAATGGCAGCCACGTTTCCACCACCACCAAAGTGTGACTGTGTGAGCGAATGAATGATGTATCCAATGTAAAGCGCTTTGAGGGTCTCTGATAAAGCGCTATATGAAATCTGATGCATTATTATTATTATTATGTAGTAATGTAGTGTAGCATGATCCTTCAATCGGACTGTATTATAAAAGCAACATCACACTTAATGTAGAGAGGATGTTCTCAGTATCAGCGGGACTGTTATTCAGACGTGTTATTCCTCTCTGTGACAACTGCTAAGCCTCGTAAGACTTTTCCTAATCGTGCAGGTTAGAGGAGCTTTTCCTGTGCCTGAACGACTACAACATGGTGTCCGAGTCCCAGAAATCCTGTCCATCACTACGCCTGCTGCAGATCACAGACAACCAGCTGCAGGACTGGGCAGAAGTGAGGAAGTTCGGGAAAATGTACCCCAGCCTAAGTACGCTCGTCCTGGCCAATAACAGTTTAGACTCTGTGAACGACACTCAGGAAACGCTGCAACGGCTGTTCCCCAACCTGCGCTGCATCAACCTCAACAACTCAGGTCTGAGCGTTGCATTTATCCTTGTCATGTACCTGTACACTCTGTGGCTCTAAATCTCTGTAATAATGTGTTTTTTTTATTTTTTTATTCAGGCCTCAGTAAATGGGAGTACATTGAAAGGCTAAATTTCTTTCCCAAGCTGGAGGAAGTCAAAGCGATGGGGATTCCTTTACTGCAGCCGTACACCACCCATGAGAGACGCTGCCTCCTTTTAGCACAGTGAGTCTAATCACAACGCGCGGATCAAATCCTTCTTTCAGCCCTGAACGTGCACAGAAACACGCCGTCTAACTGACCTGACTGTTCACGCTACCATCACAATGCCTGAATGACTTTAGAGCGAGGGTGGTTTATAACTACAATTACAAAAGAAGCCTTCACAGACAGTTTAACAACTCTGGATCATATCAAAGATCAGGATTTGGAGAATAAGCTTGTTCCCCTATATCCTCACAACACAATTGGTACAACGCTGTGGAATACAGTATGAACTGAACTGTCATCTGACCCTTCAGCCCACAGCACAAAATTGTACTTATTTGCTGCTTTTATCTTATTTGCAGCTGCTCTCTGTCTTGCTGCGCTTTTGTTTTTGTCGTACATGCAGTTTTTGATTTTTGCTGCAGCATTTATTTTCCTTATTTGCAGCGTGTTTCCACTGTTTGTCGTGGACTTTTGTATGTGTTCCTGCAGCTGTGTCGTTCCTGCATTTATGGCGTGTTCCATTCAGGCCTGGGCAAATTGTTTGTTCCTTGTCAGCCACCGTAATTCGTTCATCAGTGAATTCCCGGACACATTTGTGTCCTAAAGTAACCCCTCGACTGAAGTCTTTATACATACCTGCAGGTTGCCATCTGTGGTAGTGTTGAACGGCGGTAAGGTGTCAGACGGAGAGAGGGAGGATGCTGAGAGGTTTTTCATCAGGTACTACCAGGACTGCCCAGGGCAGGAGCTTCCTGAGAGGTACTTACACCCACTCATACACCTATTTATCATCCTGGATATTTCCTCATCGCCCATGTTTAATTTTAAGTACTGATGATGAGCGTACAATGATGAGATCCACTTCTAAATTTTGATATGTACAAAGCACTCATTTCCAGAGCTTATCGCAGTCTGAAAGGGGAATTTGGACTTACAGTTTTTCCATTTTTATGACCAGTTAGTTCAAGTTAGTCATGCTCTAACACACTGACCTGAACTCTGGCATGAGATCACCATGAATTATTGCCACAGTTTGAATATAATACAGAGAAATCAGCTTAATGCTAGCTTGTCAACCTTCATGAAAAATCTTTAAACTACCTTTGTGAAGCGCTAACTGGTCAAGAGCATGGAGTGAAGACATCAGTGTCTGCTAAGTGGTGCAAATATATTCATAAAAGAATACTGGAAATTCACAAACGGAGGAAATCCTTTTACAGACTCTTGGGGTAACCTGTTGATGCTTTAAATCACAGAATAAGCGGTGATATTATCAGGTATTTGTATGGAAAATAAATAAATCACTAGCACAGGCATGGCGGTGAGCTTCAGCTCAGGGACTGGATGAGCAGAGATGACACAGGAATACACCTCACATCTATGTGTCACACAAAGCAGCCATGTCCTGGAATTGTGCACAAATTAACGTTCACCTTAACGTTAAATAATGTCACCCTCACTTGTTGGCACCAGGATGAATAATCGGTCAAAGGTATTATGAATATATATTTTTTCTTAAGGCCCAGTCATTAGTTGGGTCTGAGTCATAGCCCAGCCACAAGTCCAGGCCAAAGCTGTGGTTAATGTGTAACCGGCACAGATACACAGAGGTTCATCTGCACAAAGGACCAAAGGCTGGTGGTGCTAGCTCTGCTAATGTTAGTCACACTCAACAAAGCTGTTAGACCCAGACTGTGACCCTGATTTTAGCCATGTCAGATATACTGTGCTCCTTTCAGCATTTATATAAAAATAACACCCTGCACTGCAGTCATAAATACAGACTCTTAAAAACCGCCATGTGACAGGCTGTTAACATATTTATTTATGCTGTATAAACTGGATGATTAAATATGGGGCCTAATGGGGATGTACTCACTTTTGCAGCTAATCTCAAGTGGACGCGTTAGGAACTGCAGCCTTTGGCATTTTGACATTGACTTCACTTTTTAGCTGTGAGGTTTTCTGCTTCATAACTCTAAAATCTTAAATACTACGGTAGCTCTGTGTTAGCAAGCGTTGGACATTTCCATGGCTTAGAAGAGTAAAAGACGACGGGCACGATCAGATTTCCAGGTTTATTCACATAACTCTGAGTTTCTGGTAAGGCTTGAAGGTTTGAACACCCGTGAATTTTCGACAAAAGCAATAACCTGCTATTCCTGAATCCATGTCACAGAATTTGAAATAACGATTTGGAAATCCCTGCTCTGGCAGCTCACAGGGGTAAAATATTTGCCCACGCTCTTCACCGGCTGCGTTCCACTTAACCTCAACAGAATGTTGGAGAAGGATTTGTGAAGGAAGGTGTAGTCCCTGACTGGGGGAAACTAACCTTTGGGAGACAATGCCACCAGTCTCTGCCTGCTCAATGAGTCCTTTGTGCCGGGAATTCTCTGATTGGAAAACCGATCCACAAGGTAGCAGGATGATTTTTTTTTTTTCCTTATGTGTACACCTAGTCTGTCAACCTCAAACCTTATGTTGAGAGATTGATTTGATTTCTTATGTCACAGCAGCCCATGAGAGCAGAGCTGGTTATGAGCCGTCTTTACGAATAATTGAAAACAAAGATCAAACATGGATTTGCCGAGCCGTCTGTGCATATTTGAAATCATGTCCATCCATCACACTTTGCTGAAAACATCCCGGGCCCATCCTTTCTTCTTTTCTCTATTTGAACTCTGCTTTCATGGTTTTGGTTTGCAGCCAGGTTCTCAGTGTTGGTCAGGGGTTAGGGATCACCATGACTGCGTGTGGGTGTTATGGGGGTGTCCGACACGCTGGATAAGCAGTGAACACACCACTATCCTCTTTCCTCTCGACTCGAGCTGTGGCCTTGCAACCCTGAGAGATCACAGCGCTGCAGAGAGGGTCACAGCCTCTCAGGTGAACTAATGTTATTCAGCCCAGCTCTGGGTAACTATAAACGCATCCCTAACCAAAAAATCAGACCGAGATACCACGGTAATCTCTTTAAAAAGATAACTGATAATCTGGGAGTGGGATTAAGGGTTTTGGGACAAAGAAACGGGTATGTTGAGAGAGAAATACGTCAGCTGGACAGGAAGGATTAGAGGTAAGGAAACAGTCGAAAGAGGACAAGGTAAAGAGAAATCTGAGAGTCATCCTGTGGAGGCTGAAACAGAGGATATTCAGAGTCTGACTCACAGACAATATGGAAATCAACCAGTGGAAATTGTTAAATAGTCTCATTTTGGCTCTAAATCCTGTTATTTTGGAGGCGTTTACTGTCCCAAACTGAGGAATGCTGGAAAAAAAACAAGTGGAATGCTTACTCGCTATCTCTGATGGCATTATTTACCCCCATTAAACCACGATTACTCCACCTTAAATGAAACCTTTTAGTGAAATGACTTCTCTCAGAATGGGACTTTGTGCACCGAGGCCTTAGAGGAGAATTCCCAGGGTGGACCACAAGTTTTGGCCCGTACCCCTCGGCCAGGGGGATTGGCTTTGTGGGGGAGTTCGAAGGGAGGGACGGGGAAATTGCTTTGATTGGCCCAGCTGTTACTGTAGCTTTGAAAGCCCGGGCCTTTTCTCCAGGATTTTATTTAATCTTTCCTCCTTATCTCGAACACGCACTCCCCCGAGGAGGCTGAGAGCTTTCTCACGGCAGAGCGAGAGGCAGAGAACTCTGTTTTCCTCCGACTCTTCAACACAATCGACGGTATATTTCCATGTTTTTATGGATGTTTTTGATTGAACACCTGAGTGGGAATGTGTGACAAGCTGGGTAAAACACACAACCTGATTTGGACGATGTGGCGAAGAGATTAGAAAGGAAGTTGCAATGGCTGGTTGGAAGCTATTTGTTGAGGCCGTAATATATGTTGCCCTGGGCCTCCTTCATAGTTGGTGTTGGGGTTCATTTTTGTCTTTCGGGTGTAAAAATATTGGACATTAATATCAAAATTGGGAGGAATATTTGTCAGGTTAATATCGCAGGATGAGATCCTTTGCTACTCTAAACAGCTTTTGCAAAAAGTCGCCAGGAGGTAAGACAGGAGGGACATGAAACCTGCTCAGGTTTTGACGTAAAAGATTTGAGAATCTCTTTTAAAGAGCGTGACGACTGTAACACCAAATACAAATGATCTGCTCTGTTCTTTGTTCCTTGGATTTTTCTTTAGTCCCCACTACAAACGTTCTAGGTCAAAATTAAAGCCATAATTTATGATTTAGTCATTTGGAATTCAGAGATAATCATTGATGCATCGACGTGACTTTGTCGCATGGCAACTGTAAAAGGAAGCTTCTGGAGAGCCGGTCAGTTGAAAGAAAGTGTTCTGGTAGGGAAGGGAACGGGGAAACTCAAAGAGATCTGAGCTGAAAAGGACGTGTTTCAGACTGAATGTGTGAGTAAATAACCTCACCGATGTTTCATGTAAATCCCATATCTCAAGGTCGGTATTTTATTGGATGATTTGGAATTTGTTGACGCTTTACCCTTAAGAGAAAAAAATGAACATTGGTTGATTTGTTGTCCAGTTCCTGGCCCATTGGGAAATTTAGTATAGAGCTGTTAAATTCCAGACTGAAAGGCTGCCTTGCTCACCCCTCCTGTTGGTGAGGCTCCAGAAGCAACAGTGGCCTCTGAAGACAGGAAGCTGTCATGATGTCTGACATTTTCCCCTGGTCTTTGTCCTCTTCTTCAAAAGAGTATATCTGGGTGGCCACAAACTAAATACAAAATGCATATATCAGTATTTTGTCTGTTTTTTGTTACTATTGAATCGTATGACCTTTGTGAAAGGGAGGCCTGCTCCTATCTAGATGTGAAAGGCTCATTCTGAACACACTGAGCCATTAAAGTCCCACTCCAAACTTTTTTTTTTTTTTACTACTTAAAGTGTTTTCAGTGGTCTTTCGATTGTGGTTATGAAGTTTTTAGCCAAAATCGTGTTACCTGTGTCATTTTCAAGGGCTTTTCTTCTGCAGAGCTCCAGTAGCTCATTAGCAATTCCCCTCTGAGTCGTGGGCGGAGACAACGCTGCTCCTCACTCTCCTCTTCATGCTAGCTTGTAGCCTAGCATGCTAATATAGTAGAAGTGGTAGGTAACATAGGAGCTATTTAGCTCTCAGACAGTAATGTCTTTAGAGACATGATGAAAGTTAATGTCATTATTAGCTTTCTTATGAGCATTGCAATCCGCTATCGCACACGTTTGTTCTGCGATCGTCTTCTCTACTTTTGCGAGTGTGGCCTGCATTAGCGGGGCTCCGGGGTAGAGATTGGATTTGCTACTTAGGAAATCTCACTGAATCTGAGCCTGCTGTTTGGGTCTGCCGGAGATTCACAGCAATTTGAATGCAGAAATACTCAGAAATGCAATTTTGCGCTTACTTTTCTTATGATATGTCCTGAAGCATCAGAAAAATGCTATATGGACATGTGAAAAAACAAGAAAAACATGATTTTCATTGTAGTGGGTCTTTAAGCTCCACTCATCCTACATTCCTGGACCTCATCACTCCTGTTTGCACTGTGACTAAAGGAATAATATTACACAACAGAAAACCTCTCTTAGATCTGACATGAGCTCTGTTTTCTGGTAGGTACCACTCCCTTGTGTCCAAGTATGGCCACCTGGCCCCGCTGGCAGAGGTGGACCTGAGCCCTCGCTGCACCATGGTGGATGTTCGCTTGGGAGACAGAGTCGAGGCCGTCAGCCTACGTCTGGAACAGACAGTCAGCGACCTGAAGAAACAACTCAAAGCTCTGCTGCAGCTGCCCAACAACGGGATCCGGCTCTTCTACATCAACCGGGAAATGTGCTCAGTCCTGGGACCTGAAGAACTGAAGTGTGGCACCCGGGCCCTCCATTCCTACAGAATCCGAGACGGGGATGAGATCCTGGTAGTGCCCAAAGTAAAAAGCCGCTGCAGCTCCTCGGATCTTTGAGACAGGAGGCCTCCTGCTTTCAGATGAACAGTAAAAGGAATTTTAGATGACACCTACTGGATACCAAGTATAGACTTGAGCCTTTTATCGATTAAAAAAAAGAGTGAACTTTGTCAGCCTTGAATGTAAAGATGTCAACCATGGTTGCTGTCAACCATATTGAACAAACTCATACAGTAATATATTTGCACATCAAAGTCCCACAGTCACACGGACTGTTTCTTCAGAGGGAGTCACGCACAGCCAAAACTGTGGTTTACATCTCAATTGTAAAAATATGCAAATAGTCCCCAAAAGAAAAAGTTGCCATTATTAGAAATTGCACATTGAAGTATTTGTCGCAGCGGGTTCAGAACCTTGAAAATGGAAACTTCCCTTCGCTTGATTGATTTGCAGGTTTTAAAGTCACCTGATGAAATTTTGTGCCGTTAAGACGTAAACATTCATTTGGCAAACTACATTTAGAAATACCAGCCAAAGCTCCAGTGTGTCTTTGAAGTTGCGTGTTTTATTTACAGTAAACTGCGGCTCCTCTACGTTTTTCCTCAAGCTCTCTGTTTACTTTGTGCTACTCAGAGATTTCTGTGAAGCCTTTTTACAATAATCTCTGGCTGCAGCAAACAGACCAAGTATTTTTTCTGTTTGAGGAGGAATACAGTTTTGATTAAAAAAAAAAAAAACAGTCTACTCCTTAAATGCCAGCATAATGGCAAAGAGTAACCTTTAATCCAGCAGTGTTTCTGCAGCCAAGCTGACTCAAGCCTTTGCCAAGTGGAGACAGTCTGCGTTTGCATTTGTTGCATTTAGCTGTTTAGTAGTGTAGCTTCATTGTTTACATTTTAACATTTTCTAACCAAACCAAGCTCAAAGATGCTCGGGTTTTTCTAACCTTTATTCAAGCGGGGAAGCTGGTGGCAGGGTTTTCTTTTTCTAAGAGTACTTGCAGGTAACACAAGTCTGTCCTGCTTCTGCTGAACACTCTCTTTCCACATGACTCTATGGCAGTGAAATCTTGAGATAACCCCCAAACTGAAAAACACAACTGCTGTGGGCTGGGAATAACGCGGCGCACATAGCTGCTGCTCAGTCACGACGTCCTGGCAGAAAGATGAGACTTGTCCGAGGTGAGCGTGGGTCTGGGACAGAGAAAGTGAGGAGTTTGATGCTCGAGTTACCCTCCCTCTCTCTCTCTCTGCAGTGGTAGCTGAGAAACGTTGATGCCCGGTCTGTATGGTAACCACACACCAGGCGCTGTGTCATGGACACTTCCGCTGCATTTAGGTTAGAATGGGTTCAGTCAACAGCCTCTTGCCCCTCACCCATTCACCTCAATCTCTCCTTTACATCCGTCGTACAAACCTGACACTTCTAGTGTCTGCGGTTTCACAGGACCTAGGATGGTGAACAATGGCTTACACTGGCTCTGACTACTTTGAAATGAAAGAATACATGAAAAAAAATGTGTATCTAACTGGCTCATCCAAAGCTGACTACAACAAGGGGCCTCTCAAATCCAAGCTCCCTGGACCCTGTGTTGGGTGTTATAGCCAGTGGATATTCAAATAAGAGACGAGATGTATGCATATAACTTAACTTAGTGTACCTTAAGATCAACAGACGGTAACAACAGTACAACCTGTCTTCTCCTTCATATCTGAATATGGACTGATTTTCCCACAGACAACTAATATTAATGATAAAATCCTCTGATCGTAACCAGAAGACTTCTGCTACAAAGTCACATCGGAATCTGCCAACAAAGACGTTCACAAATTTACATTTTCATGTAAAGCATGTTGACAGAGATTCAAATAGACTTCGGAGAGCATGCGAACTCAAACACACAAACAACCCAGCCAACCACAGATCAAAACCCAGGCTCCGCTTAGTTCTCATCAGAAGCTATCAAAACAAGCATGCAGCCAGTAACCTCTCAGCTGTATCCGTAGTCGCTCTGTGCAGAATTTTCTAAACCCAAATCTCATAAAAAGCTGGTTTTAACAGGTAGGATTTGTTGCCCAGTTTGCAGCTATAGCTACACATCTCCATGGGGTCATATCTTGGAGATAATTATTTGTCAATCCACCCTTTTTTAATGGATTTGTGTAGCGTCATGGACTGAGACACTGAACTTGCCCTTGTTCTGTGGAAAGACTGACATGTAAAGTGCGTGCTGGGATAGCTCCAGCCTGCATGACTTTGAATCGTTCAAATGTTGTCAGTATGTGTGTGTTGAATGTATTCAGTGTAAGTTGGACCCATTTGTAGTGCTTTATTTGAAGAACAGATTAAGAAGCTCTTGAATTAGACTCTTTCTTGTAAACGCTGCAGTGCCATGAAGAAGAAAGAGTTCGTCTTAGGAACTTTTTGGCTGAAGTGAGCCCCAGAAGCGAAAGGTGTCTCTTCAGCGTGCTAACGAGTGAAATATGGTCAAGCCTTGTGTTGCGAAAATTGTGTGAAAACATTTAAAGGTGCTGTTGTTTTGTGGACACCTGCATCTCTTCACTGACGAATTATATCTGTGTTAAATAACTGGAGATCTTAATGATAGGAGGAGAGTCGCTGTGTGGACTTACACTTTATGCTATTTTATAAATGAGTTGCTGACGTGGGAGTTTATGGGGTGTGTGTGTGTAAGACATTTTTTCTCAAGTGTATCATAGTAGGCTGGTGATTTGCATGTTCTGTTGTTTCTTGGAAATGTTTGATGTAAAATGTGTAACAGATGTGTCATTTCAGGGAAACAATATTGTTTATGGGCATTTGTAAATTTGACACTTTAAAAAAGTAATCTATGCTTCTATCACCCTCACCTTTATCCTTCAGTCATACCAAATACAAAGATTATTGACAGATTTAAAATCTGAGTGATGCTTTCTGAAATGTTATACAGTTTGCCTTGTGCTGTTTGGAAGATGGTTTTTAATTTATATCACGTTTGCTCTCTGTACTCTCTTAAATGTATCTTGATATTTTATTGTAATTTCTTCTTTTCTTTCTTGAGATCATATTTCCATTTCCTCACCTGTTATTATAATGGTGCTCTCACATCTCTTACAGAAATAAATTATGAATAATTCAGTGAATGTGTGACATTTTCATAAATTTAGTAGAACCTGCAAAAAAGATGTATCCGTTATGGGCCTACTTTGTCACAGCGCTGTGTCCATGGTAAATTTCTCTGAGACAACGAAGTTCATCTGAGAGGCCGATCACACAGGAATGTAATCAATATAAAACTATAACTGTTGCTGCATTTTGGCCTTTCCTTTACACAGAAATGCAAACTTTTGGAACTAGTTACAGAGTGGGACCTGAACAAAACACCACCCTTTCTGTCCCACCACCATTTGTGCTCAAATATTGTGTCCATTGATCTATTTTTTCTGCTTATCCAGAGGCAACAGCTTCAGCAAGGTGAACCAGACATCCCTCTCCCAAGCAGAATTTTCCAGCTCCCCATGAGACCCTAAGGCATTCCCAGGCCTTGGTTGGAAATACAATTCCTCTGGCAAGCTCTAGGTCTACCCTGGAGGGCCTCCAGGGTTAGACTTGCCCACAACACCTCTGAAGGGAGGCGTCCAGAAGATATCCTTATCAAATGCCTGAACCGCCTCGACTGACTCCATTTGGCATGGAGCAGACGTGGGTCTACTTCGAGCTCTCTCTGGATTTCCAAGTCCAAGTTATTCCTCCAAGTAAGTCGAGGTGGAAGCTCACTCACCTTCTACCTCAAATGTCTGCGCTAATGCAATGCACGGACTGCCAACATTCAAACTCTAGACATTTTCCAGACAATCAGGTCCTGCGCTTGTTCAGACTTGTTCCTCGACTGCACACCCTCTAGCTTGTTTGGGGAAGTGCGGGACAGTAACAGGCCCATTAACTAGACTTGATACGAAGGTGTTGGAAAGTTTAGGTCCATTTGGATTAGCGGGTTTATTGGCATTCTCACTTGCAGGCCCCGGGGTAATGTAAGGACAATCCCAGGAGTGAAGTGCATGTTTGAAAGGATCTTTTAAGTGCATGTGTTTATCTCTCATTATCATCCTGCTTCAATTATAGTCTTTAGGGTGGCTATACTCGCTGGTCCTGACCAAGATCACACCCTGGCCTTAACAGTAATAAGGCTCTTATTGTTCAAAGGAACTGGCTTGTGTACCTGTTAACTACTGTAAAGTGTCAAAGTCCTAATGGTAAGACAAAGTATGGTGTGATGCATTACTCATGTTTCAGGCAGAATCTACACATGGTTATTGTGTACTCCTCTTACCGAGCACTTGGCTGTGGAGGAGAAGGGATTCTGCAGATCTTCTCTCTTTCTGGCAGGCGTGTTTTAGCCGACCTGCAGAGAGTCCATTCCATACATGTCAAGCGGTGTTGTGTTTCTGGGGCATTCCCTCTATTTCGCCTTCCTCCTCCCAACAGCACTGAGCTAATCCTGTGTGGGATATCTATGCCACCTACCACCACCGCCACCCACCCGTCAACAAACCCTTTACAGCAGGACCACCCTCTTGGGGTTTTCTGGCTGAGCATGTACTTGTATGTTCAGTTACAAAGGGTACAACTCATTTTTATCGGACTGTGTTGATTTGACTACCTCTCAGTCAGTCTTTGCTGATTTAATTCCATGAATCTATTTGGATCTCCCTAAATTTCTTGGAAACTAAATGGACGGACATAAAGTCTGGTAAGTATTAAAGTGTTGTCTAGAGAATCAAATATTCTCCACTAGTTTGTACTAGCAGTAGGTCCTTAGTCCCCCATTAAATGAAATACCTGTAATTAAGTGCAAAGACGACACATCAAATGGTGAAACTGAAAAAAAGTTATATTTTTGTGAGAATACGTGCTCATTTTTAAATTTGGACAGGGATAGCAAAACCCTGAAATAGTTGAGTATTGATTCAAAAACTGGAGTAACATCTAAAAACTAAAAAGTTTTGTTTGCAACAGGATAGTCCAAAAAGAGATTCCAGTGAGTGGGGAGTCTCTTA